GTAGCCTGAGTACGATTAGTGGTGCAGGAACGTTTTGCCTCGTAGGGAACCACTCTCGTCGAGTTTCGTGACTTGAGGGTAGTTTTGGAGGTCTTTTAAGCCGAGCTGTCAAGTTGGAGAGCTGTGATACGTTTTCCACTTTGGCTCAAGTGACGAGCGCTGGTGTGAGTGCTGCAAGCCAAAACAGAAGTGTTGTCCGAGTGTCTGAGCTTGCTTGCTTGGTTGGACTTGTGTGAGTTGGCTTGGTTGTATCCTTGGTGCCTTGCTTGGCATCTTGGGTTTTCAACGCAAGTAGCAAGGACCCACTTGCAGGCTCTGTGGCAGCCTGCTTGCAGTTTCTGCACGATCTTCAATGTTACGCTGCAACAGCAAAAAAGATGACTGAAGTGTGGCTTTGGCAAAAAAAATTCGCCCTGGTGTGGATTTCAAGTGTTCTGCCAGCCCAGCATGGAAGCGGAGTCGATCCGTAGCTGCTGAACGGAAACGGGAAGAGAGATGGTTCTTGGATCTGGTGTCGCTCCCCTTGGTAAACCGCTTCGGCGTGTTACCAGAACTTTCGAATTAGTGAAGACGCCTTTCGGAACAAAGGAACAATCGGTAGAGTGATTGCGCAACCAAGAAACCCAAGTCACCTGCTTGGAACGTTTCTCCCGGGTCCAGTACCTTGTTTTAGTGGTAGTAGTCGCAGTAGTAGTCGTCGTAGCAGTAGTGCAAACATGTAGGCTGTGCGGTATCGAGGTCCACAAAGCGCTTTCTCTGTGAGCGGAACCAACAAGGACATCAGTGCTACACTTTCAGTTTTAACAGGCAAGAGATCGTAGAGAGTCTGTCCAGAACAAAAGTAAGTGCGTCTACTCTCTAGTAATCAGAGAAAGCAGACTCTACAAGGCCCCGCCGAACATCAGAGGATTGCGTGCAGGCCTCTACGCTGGGCGTCAAAGTTCTTTTGCGACGGAAGGTCGCTTGGAGAACTTTACAACAGAGTGGGCGTTCCACTTGACCACCAGCGTCTCTTGGCTGAAGTTGTGGGCCAGTGGGTACAAGAAATAGCCGAGACCAGCGTCACGCTTGATGCTAAACGAGTGCGACTTGGAATGGCAAAGGCATGTCTGGAGGAAGAGCAGATCACGTACCCACCAGCATGCAATGCCTGCTGGAGAGTCGTGATGTCAGACCGTGGCGAGATCCGCCAGCATTGCAACCTATGGACCGTCAGAAGAAGTGCGAAGGTATGAAAGTGACTTCTGCTTGCTTTGAGTGAAAGGGTTTGAGTTAGGTTAGGAGAGTTCCCTCCTTGCATAGTAGTAGTCGCAGTCGTCGTAAGGTTAAGAGAGTTCCCTCCTTGCATAGTAGTAGTCGCAGTCGTCGTAGTAGTAGTAGTAGTAGTAGTAGTAGTAGTAGTAGTAGTAGTAGTAGTAGTAGTAGTAGTAGTAGTAGTAGTAGTAGTAGTAGTAGTAGTAGTAGTAGTAGTAGTAGTAGTGGTAGTGGTAGTAGTAGGTAGTGGTAGTAGTAGGTAGTAGTAATAATAGTAGTAGTAGTAGTAGTAGTAGTAGTAGCAGTAGTAGTAGTCGTAGTAGTAGTAGTAGTAGTAGTAGTAGTAGTAGTAGTAGTAGTAGTAGTAGTAGTAGTAGTAGTAGTAGTAGTAGTAGTAGTAGTAATAAGTAGTAGTAGTAGTAGTAGTAGTAGTAGTAGCAGTAGTAGTAGTAGTAGTAGTAGTAGTAGTAGTAGTAGTAGTAGTAGTAGTAGTAGTAGTAGTAGTAGTAGTAGTAGTAGTAGTAGTAGTAGTAGTAGTAGTAGTAGTCGTAGTAGTAGTAGTCGTAGTCGTGTCGTAGTCGTAGTCGCAGTAGTAGTAGTAGTAGTAGTAGTAGTAGTAGTAGTAGTAGTAGTAGTAGTAGTAGTAGTAGTAGTAGTAGTAGTAGTAGTAGTAGTAGTAGTAGCAGGAGTAGTAGTAGTAGTAGTAGTAGTAGTAGTAGTAGTAGTAGTAGTAGTAGTAGTAGTAGTAGTAGTAGTAGAGTAGTAGTAGTAGTAGTAGTAGTAGTAGTAGTAGTAGTAGTAGTAGTAGTAGTAGTAGTAGTAGTAGTAGTAGTAGTAGTAGTAGTAGTAGTAGTAGTAGTAGTAGTAGTAGTAGTAGTAGTAGTAGTAGTAGTAGTAGTAGTAGTAGTAGTAGTAGTAGTCGTAGTCGTAGTCGTAGTCGCAGTCGTAGTCGTAGTCGTAGTAGGAGTAGGAGTAGGAGTAGGAGTAGGAGTGGGAGTAGGAGTAGGAGTAGGAGTAGGAGTAGGAGTAGGAGTAGGAGTAGGAGTAGGAGTAGGAGTAGGAGTAGCAATACATTTCTTGTACAAACGCATCACTCCTTTTTTTGCAAAGCTTAGTCCGTAAACCACGCAGTTTGCCGGATGACGAAGTTGCCGTGGGCGTGCTTTGATTTACAATTTTGCAGACTGGCTTTGCACCATCTGTTTGAGGCTGGGCTGCAGAATGCTGCAAACGTGTGAGCGCTTGCACTTCTCATGTTGAAGTCTGCATGCATTTAGTTTGGGGTTTGTGTGCTCAGCGGTTTTCATATCATATAGTTGAAGTTGGATTGGTTGATGTTTTTGTATTCTTTGCAAGAGAAGCCACACGAGTAACACTTAAGTGGGTGGCAACGGGTCTTTGGGTGAGAATACTGAGAATCGTATGTCCAAGTGTTTGTTCGATTTGTGCGAAACTTCTGGCACGAGCAGACAGAAGGCGAGCCGTGTGAGTTGCAAACGTGTGAATGCTTGCTCTTCTGATGTCCGAAAAGGGTTTTCTTGCATGCGCTTATGTTGGAGTTTTTGTGTTCAGCGTTTCTCATATCGTATACTTAAGGTACAATGAATTACCTTCACGGGCTTGTAATGTTGGACTGGCTTTAGTATAAGGTGGGTACCGTCTATTATCGCAAGTTTTTTCCGGACGCTTATTTTAAGGGTTTGTGTTTTGGGTTAAGCGCTTACGCGGTAAGGCTTGAAGCCCTGAGGGCTTGGGCTCAAGGAACCTTAAAGAGCCAGAGCGCGGAGAATCCAGAAATCTAAGCCCGGCCAGTTCCATGTAAAGCCTTGTGGGAATTCAGTACGAAACGAGGCCCCAAACGATTTTTGTGATAGGTAGCCCACGTGCCGGTCAGGCTGTCTTTAGAAAGTTTGTCTGGCTACCCTCTATAATACCAAGTTTTTTTCGGATGTTTTTTTTTAAGGGTTTGTGTTTAGGGTTAAGGGTTTACGCAGTAACGCATGAGGCCCTGAGGGTCTTGGGCTCCAGGAATCTTCAAGAGCCGCGGAGAATCCAGAAATCTAAGCCCGGCCAGTTCCATGTAAAGCCTTATGTAAATTCATTGCGAAACGAGGCCCCAAACAAATTACGGGCCGGTCAGGCTGTCTTTAGTAAGTTTGTCCGGCTACCCCCTATAATACCAAGTTTTTTTTCGGATGTTGTTTTTTTTTAAGGGTTTGTGTTTAGGGTTAAGGGCTTACGCAGCAAGGCTTGAGGCCCTGAGGGCCTTGGGCTCCAGAAACCTTAAAGGCTGGAAAGCTTCAGGCCTTGAGGTCCTAAAGGCTTGAGGCCCTGAGGGCGGTTCCCCCCCCCGCCCCCCCCAATTTGTTTGGAGGGGTCGCCGGGCCATGCGTTTATAGAGGGTCCCAAATGTGTTTGGGGGGGGGGGCCATACTAGAGACAGCGCAACATTAAAGAATCATTGCGTGGCCGTGGTTTGTGGGATCTTCCTAGTACCAGCCCGAATTTTTCAACAGGTTTGCGACGTGAATCATTCCTGTGTAAATTTCCCGCCATGGTACTTTAAATCAAGACGTCGCTTTCTCCCAATCCACATGGCTTGTGCTGTTGATGTGTTCGCCATCTTGGCACAGCAGCTTCGTAGCATAGGATTTTTACAGCGTGTTTCTGCTTATCAAAGCTCCGGCCTGAGAAGGACCATTGTAGCAATCCAGTAACAATGTTGAAACGTCCGGCTCTGTGTTGCAGGTATTGGTGGGAATCGAGGTGTAGGAGTGTCTGCAAGTACGAGAAGCAGGCCACTGCTTTTTGAATTGTTCTGGGGCATGCTTGGCAAGCTGACCGGTAAAAGTGAGATGCCACTTTGGCCAGGCCACCGAGATGCAACCTCTCGCATACTTTGCCGTGAGGAGGTCCTCGCATAGATCACGATGCTGGCATGTTGCTTTCGATGCATGGATAGGGGTCTCCTGGTCATCATGAAGTGTATTTGCATGCCTGATTGAATGGCGTACCGTCAGAACATGGACTGAAAACAATCATGTAACAGAGGGACTTGCGTGGGTGTGGGCCGAAAGGCATTGAATGGTGATTTCAATTTAGAGCATGTTCATCTTGTGGCAATGCCAGTTTGCTGGGCTGGCTTCAATGGGTAGAACGAGCAGAACATGCGTTCATCAGCAACGCTTTGGTCCTGGCGGCAGCCTGAGCTGGGTTTGACAGGATGTTGCGCATTTATGCTTCATGCCTTGTCGAAAGTTTCTTCATCAGATGCTCAATGCAGACATGCAGCTGCCCCCTGCCATCGAAAAAATCATGTTTGTAGATGCAAACGAGCCGTCTCGCTCAAAAGCCCTGCTTCAGTGTTGCACGTGAGTGCACATGGCCATGCTGTGGTGTCCCGTTATGGCAATTGTACATAAGAACGTGTGCTTTGTGCTACTACACCAGGCTCTGAACAAGGCTTCGGATCCAACCGTTTCCCCAATTGTGTGTCATTGAGCAAACGAGCGCCAGAGTATAGCACACGTGTGACCAGATGACAGCGCTGCCTTGGGAGTGCTGGGCGTTCTTTGTCGTTTGTTGAGTGGGCGAGGTGGCTGCTGGAGCTGCGCATTGCTGGGCGGCTAGGAACTTTCCATCTTTTTACAGCATGCTGTGATCCTAATCTGTCACATGTGTGGCTGGCAAGCGTGGCATCGGTCGAGGTGGTGTATGCGCTGTTCATCGCCATTCACACTCGGGCGATGAGATATGAGGGTGGCCGTCTCACCTTTTGTTTCAGGTTGTCCTGATCGTTTGCGCCACAGGTTGAAGCTGAGCACGAACGGGTTGCAAAGAGACCAGACCCGCATGACCATGCCGAGGCTATCATGAAGGCTACACTGAGCATCTGCCCGTCTGGGTGAACTGGACAGAGAACTTAGCAGCAGGGAGCCTACCGCAGTGTGGGTTTGTGTTCTTGACATCGCCACGTGTTTTGCCGTTTGAGGTTGCATCCATGGGGATTTGGTGGGCAGCCGGGTTCTCCACGGCAGCCATCCGCATCATTGATGATGATGCTCGAGGCACCAGAACGGCTCTATTGGTTCTTGTTCCAGTGAGCAGTTTTGAGGCAGAGATGCATTGCGCATTGCGCACACGTGCGTATTCCTGATGCCAAAACAAGCGGATGCACCAGTCAGGTCTGCCAATGGATGGTGGAGATGTGCAGGTCAACAAGTTCATCCAGATTCTTCGATCGGAAAGGCTGTAGCGGATGTGTTGATGTGACCCTCTTTTGGCTTGCACCATCTTGCACCCCTTGCACAGTTACACTTACTCAAGTTGTGCATCGTGCTATTTATAAAAGAGGCCTAGTATGTTCATTGTTCAGCTTTACCGGTCAGGCTACATGATGGCCTGGGACTGGCACACACCCTCAGCTGCATTGGATTGTTCATCAGGCACAGAGCGGAATGGCGGGGTGAGGTGAGTGAACTGGTGTTTTGAACTTCTTTGATGAGTGATCCAGAGCATGGAAGTCAGTGGGCGAGTAAGAAAAGGAGGGTTCGGCAAGAAGGAGAATTGGACGGAAGGTGCCAGAGCCTGTCAGTGTGGCCTTGTGTGCCCATCCTGGAGTAGAGATTCCGGACCTGGGCAGTGAGAGAAGGGACTGGGAGGGAGCATGCGAACAAGAACTATGGTAACTGAATGGCAGGCTTGAGACGTAAGGTCTTACACCATGTGTCAGCATTCGTAGAGGGAGGCCATGTCATCAGCTAGCAACTACGCAGAAATCTCGCTGTCATTGCCTGCCAGCATCGTCCTGCTGTGCATTGCCATGGGATTGATGAAGGCGGCTTTTGTTGCTCATATATGTATATACATCTAGACTATAGATATATGTATACATACATATATATATATATATATATATTTTTTTTTTTTCAGTATGCATATAGAGCTTGAAGGGAAGTTTGCACAGCACATGATCTGATGCATTCAGGGTTCTGTCACGGCTTGCGAGCTGTGCCTCTGCTTCGTTGTGCGGGTCCCCAGTGTGAGTGCAGCCATGTGCAGCCAAAGCGCTGCAGCATCACCTCATGTGTGTGCATTCCGGGCTTTCATTTCAAATCACTTATGTGTGTTGTCCGGCTGAAGCTCAGGCCATAGGCTTCGCCATCCCACACGCAGTGGTGTCCTGCCGGCGTGATGGACTCTGTGGAATGCGGTGGTGCGACATCCATGTTTTGTGGTGTCAAAGCCCTCTGCAGGCTTAGACCTGAGCAACCCCAAGAAGACGGAGGAGACTCGAGATTCCAGTCTCTCCTCAGCCTTCCCCGCATCATCTCAGTAGAGTGCACTGCGACATCTGCGAGGATGCTGCGCCTCTGCCTTCAGAGGCTGCGGAGGCCGCTGCGCAGGAGGCGGCCCCTCTTTTCTAAGTTTCATGCTTTTTTTTTGAAATCGATATGGGGTTTACTCATGTAGGGGTACCTTTCTGGAGTCCTTATTCCTAGGGAATCCGACTATCCGGGGGTCTATACTCGGGGAGGCCCCCACACTTGCGGGGGAGCCGCTGGCCGAATGGGATGTCGGACATTCCAGGCCGCTTCCCTGGGCCCGCAGTTGTGCGTCATCCTCGCTTTGGCGGACTCACCTGGACATGCGTGCGGCCTTCAGCCGTTTCTGTTTCTTGGAACAGCGAGAGTGTCACTGTGCTGCTGAAACTTCTCAACTGCGTCCCAAGGTACTTGTGGCAGAATTTTGTTTACTTCGTAGCTGCCATTGCCTTTGTGGCTGCAGTCGCAGCCTGCGGGCGCTCCCCTCCTAAGGCACTCCACGTCTAGGTCGCATGATGCTGTTTACAATAGGTGCCACTGCTCATCATTCTCACTCATGTGTTCCAGTTTCTTCCAGACCTGTCATGCCAGAGAACCAATCCAGAGCAGGTGGGCAATTCTGCCCTACCACCGCAGACAGGAGAATTTGCTACATGCCTCGTGCCCCAGCCTCGACTTTCGTACGTTGGCAAAGAACAAGCTGAATGAGTGCAATGGTCTCAAAGCTTCCTTTCTGTGGGCCTGTGGGTGTCTCAAGCAGATGTGAATGGACAAAGCCGCGTTAGGCTGGACTTCGTCGCTTCAGTGGCCCTGGTGAGCGCACTTTGAACTTCTCTGCTTCCATGGCTTGGGGCGACTTTGCTCTACTTTTTTGTGCAGCCATGTTGTGACCGGCATGATTGGCAGAGAGAAAGGCTCAATTGGGATAAGACCCGCTTCTGATACAAACTAGTCTGTCTTTGTAGTCTTGCAGCTGTCCCTGCACAGCTTGCCACGTCCGAACCCTAGCAAGGTCCAACCATAATGCTGGCCGTGTTATGCTGACATTACTTTGGTTTCAGAGGTTTGCACACGATGGCGGACTACCGTGAGCCTCTCCTTTCCTTGCGGATTACCTAGCGCTGTCGCAGCGTGAGTCGGGATTTGTGCTGCTTTACGCTGTGGGGGTGCTGGGGAGCTTGAAGGCAGCCAAAGTTGGAGGTGCCAAAGTTGGAGGTGCCAAAGGGAAGGCAGGTAAAAGTCTCGTGTTTTTGCGCGTCCGTGCTTGAGCTTGCACCCTGAACAAAGCACGCACAGGCCGGAGGCTCGTACGGTACTTCAAGCAGTAACCTCCTACTTGGACGTCTGCTGCTCAGTTGGCTGGTGGAACCAGTGCTCTCGGGCAACAGGAGTCTTCACACAGGCTCATCATGCCAGTTAAGCTGTTTTATGCTTTCCTCACAAGGCTGCTTTCACCGTGACAGAGAGGGGCAGCACCGTCGGCTGCAGACTCAATGGGTCCTAGAACATGCACGCCTGCCTTCCTTCGATGAGACGTCTCTTCTGCCAGCTCAGGTCAAGAAATGAGAGCTGGTCTCGTGACCTGGGCCGACAACCTAGACAGATTCACATCGACATGAAGGTCCGTCTTGCCTTACCTGTGAAGGTCACCATGAGCTATATAGTCGTTGTGAACCCGATCATCCTCAGTGCCAGATTCGCAGATGGAAGCCTTGCTGGCGGCGGTTGTAAAGTGCAAGAAGCAGTGTCTGAGGAAGTGCATTTGTGTTGTTGCTGATTGCCTTCCTGTTGGGTTGAGGCTAGTTTTGATAGAAATCCCGCGGTTGCAGTGGGTGCTTGTTAGAATCTGCTGAACTTTTCGGTCAAGAAAAAGAAACTCTTCTGCTAGCTGGAAGCATGCAAAGTCAACAGAAAGGGATGTGAAAGCCTTCTTGCAGATTCTCGTGCCTGGACAGCATGCTGCAGACAGCAACATTGATTTGAGCTGGTCATGGCAGGGCACCGAAAGGTAGGCGTAAGCAGGGGTAGGACTATTGCTTTGGTCTCAGCACATTGCAGAAGCGCTGTGGAAACATAGCAAAGTCAGAAGGAAAGGTATTCATACCGATTTTCTGCTGCTGCTCCATCAAGTTAGTCTATCCGAAAGATCCCTGACACGGCAGGTTCGCCGATTCCCTTTCATGCCGCCTGCAGAGCAACTTGCCTGCTGAGACCTCAGCAGAAGATTCGCTCATTGCAGGCTGTTTGTCTAGATCACTCAGTCGCGGGATCGCTATACCATCTGATCCAAGGTCGGCTGCTTTTGCGTGTGCATTCGTAGGACACGGTCTCTGCACGTCTCCGCGGTTCCTGCAAGTGCCGGTAGTAAGTGGACAGCCAGAGTTGCAAGGACTTGCTGCAAATCTCCCTTTTGGATTGGCCGCTGGCATGGGTCTGCAGACCTGACCTGTTTGGGAGGGGACTTGGGAGGGGTGTGGCAGTGCTCCAGATGCACCGAAGCTTTTTCAATGCTGATTCTTGCTAGCTTCGTGAATGGAGCGCTACTTTCACGACCCCCGGCCTAGCACCTCGAGCTTAGAAAGAAGAGAGATGAAGAGCTCCAAGCTTACCTAACTTGGCCCCATGTTCCCCCTCAGTTGTTGCCTCTTTTGTCACATATTCAGCCCCTTGGTGGCCAGGAACTCCTATGTGCGTTACGGTATCATCGAGAGACTGGGCCTGGGTGCCGAAGGGGCCTTGGCCGCGTGCTTCGTCCAGGCTCGTAGGTTTTCAGACGCAGCTGACCGGCACCATTCTGCACCAACGCTGAGGGGGTTTGCTACCTGAACTTGCTTTTCAGGCAGTAGCCTTTGCACTGCTGGCTGCCAGCGGAGCAGTCGACAGAGCCGGATTCCCAGAAGGGAGCATGCGGAAGCCCCCCCCCACATCCGCCCTAGCCATGGAACGACCCCTTGATGCATCTCAGGTTCAAGGAGCCTTGCCGTCGGCGCTGAAGTCCTCCATCACAGTGGCCATAGGAGTTTTCCAGGCGCATCCTATTTCGTGTAGGCCTTCTTCTGAAGATTCCGCCGGCCGAAGCATCACGCAGGCCTTCGTGGGCCTGCAGTTGATGGGTTTGGTGGTTAAGAACGACACCACGTTGGTGGCAGCTTGCTCGGCTTGAACTCGGGCAGATCTGGGCGGGGGACTGATTTGGGGCTGTGCCGGCTGAGGCTCTTGGAGACCTTTCCCAGCCAAACTTGTGGTTCCGCCGACTCGTTAGTCTTGACCTTTAATTGCTTTATTTCATTTTTCGGATTTTTTTTTGGTGTTTTCTTCCCGTGATGTTGTGCGATGTTGTTTGCCAGGCTTGCTTTCACTGCCACGCTCCTGGTTGCGGGGCTCCTGATCCGAAAGGTCACCGGGGCCCTGCTGCTAGGCAAGGGCCTCGGACCTTGGGCCATCTCTTTCCATCTTTCCATGCTTAGGTTCTGCGGACTTCCCCCAAACAACATGAGTTCTGTGGACTTCCCCCCCGAATCCTGCTGAGGTATTCCTTTGAGTGAGCGCTTTTGGGATATCTTCGCCCCCCCCCTTCTTGGGGGCCCTGGGGGGATCGAGGCATCTGCTTCACGGCCGTGGCCTCGCACCTCCTCGGCCTGCCGAACCCGAACCAGGCGCGCGAAGCGCGAGTCCACGAAGAAAAAGCCTCGCAGGGTTCACCTCGGGACCCCGCTAGGGAAGGGAAAGGACCCCGGAAAAGCTCTGTTACGTTTGATGCTGTGGTTGGTAGCTTGAGAAGTTGGTGGAAAGCTTGCTGATGATGCCCTTTTTTGCTGCTGGCAGCCTTCGGCTGGACTTTCCGCTGGCACCGAGCTCAGCAAGGGCGGGGCTGGACCCAGGGTCCTGGCAGGTTGGCTCGCAGGTCTTGCCAGAAGAGTGCTTTTCCCGAGTTGCTTCAGTCTGCGAAATATATTTCGGCAAATATAGTTAATTGTAAACGCTTGCGCGCGCCGCCTCGGCAGCCGGGCCGGCCCCAGGACAGGAAAGGAGGAAAGAGGGTTTCGCAAAAAAGGAGGAAGGGCAGCGGGGTTAAAGGAGGGGGGGGGGTGGTGCGGGGGGGGGGTGGAGGGGGTGGTGGGTGGGGGAGGGGGGGAGGGGGGGAGGGGGGGGGAGGGGGGGGAGGGGGAGGGGGGGGGGGGGGGGGTTTTGAGGCACTCCCTCCTGTAGGAGCCACCGACAGGCGGGACCCTCCACGGCATCGGTTTGCAGCTCCCACAGGGCGGGGGAGGGGGGTTGGGTTAGGGGGAGTAGGCCCCATCCGGGTCTGCTTGTTCCAGATGCTTCTCGGCAGGAAGCCGAGGCGAATATTGTTAGTCCATGTTAGGAATATTCTTCATATTTCTTCATCTTGACAAAGCAGGTGCAGACCTGCCGCAGATTTTCGATTTGGACTTCACGCCAATGTTCGAGAAGCCCCAGGATGCCCCCCCGCACGGGTTGACAGCATTTTTTAGGGCACTTTGTGAGGCCCAATACACACAGAGTCCTTGCGGTGACTATCGAAGGGCACCGATGGGCCTCGCCCCAAAAGGCGGAGGTTTTAAGGGCACAACCTTTGCCCGAAAGGAAACTACCAACAATAGCCAAGGAGGCTCTTTGTGGCACCCCCGCCTGCCGCTTCTTTCCTTCTCTTTGTGTGATACTGAAACGTGCGCCTTCTTTGGTTTTGAACTTTCGGCTGTGTAAATTTTTGGAGGAGTTCGGCACAGCTGTGCTCTGTCTACTCTTCATTGTGGTCTTTGACACTGCGGGAGTCTCGAGCTCAGCTGAGTCATAAAATGTTTCCTTTGCTTTTAACTTTTTTCGGGGGTGGTTTTGCGAACACTCACAGCTTTCGCAGGTACAGCATGGCATCGGGCAGCAGGCCACGTGCTCTACCAAACTCTCAGCTGTCGTTTAGAACGCTGACTCATGACCTTGCTTTCTGAAGCGGTCACGTGATGTCGCAGCTGGCAAGGCTGGTTTGCTTGACAGACAGGGCTACCTGCCTGGAGCAAAGTGCCCCCAAAGCAAGAGATGGGTATTCAGTGATTGCAGAAACCGCCGATGCTGTGAGGTACGGCTACTTGGGCAGTGCCTTTAGCACTGGCCTGGGGGCGGTGATGGGAACCAGCCCGGCAAGCTTCTTAGTGTTCACAGCTGCACACTGCATCACACTTCACCGTGAGGCTCTCAGATCTCTCAGACATGCTTGCAGACTCAGGTCATCATCCACAATGAGACCGCGGCAGGAGTTCAGGAAGGTGGTCGCACAGGGCGTTGCCCTCAGAATCTTTGCTTCGGGGGACGTTCTTTCGAGATAAGGCCAAAGAAGATTCGTGGCTATTGGGCTAGTAGGCTCTGCGGCTCTTCGGCTACTCGCTCTGGGGGGACGTGCAACGTTTCACACAGGTCTGCAGCACCTTGACTCCCCCACCCACCACCAAAATCAGCCTCAAAAAGCTTGGTCCTGAAGCCTTTACTGATATGCCGCATGTCACACATTCATGCGGCATAGAGGTGCTTACGTCTCGCATCCTTGCCAATCATCGTGCACCGTTATCGAATACTTCGTGGTGGCAGGGGCTGCGAACCAACCCATGGTTTAGGAATCGCAATGCGGACTAGACAGCAGTATCACCCAAACATCGTCATTCGTTCCAGGTCGCATCTTGGTTTTGAGGTTTTTTCATGCTTTGCAGCTTGTGATCTCTTGCAAGCCGCTGTTCCGCGTGTCAAACTGGTTTAAGGCTCATATGTTGTCGGTGGTGATGAGGCTCTGTGCTGTGACAACGGCAGTGCTCTTCCTGCTCTCGCCCACATTGGTGCCCATCATCGAGCTCATCCCTCCGGAGGTGCGATATGCTAGTTGCCGAAACACGTGTGCTCTCGCTGTTGCCCCCCGCTGTTGCCCCCCCCCCCCCTTTTTTTGGGTGGACCGGAAGGCTACGGCGCCTTGCCTCGTCTTAGTGGGCAGCATGATGATGGGCCCTGCGCGGCGCCTAGCATCACTCACGTGCACGTAGAGGCGCACGTCAGAGGTGCGTAGCGGTGGTGTGGGTTGGAGAAGGTCAGAGACATAGACTTCGGCGACTTGCGACTGGCCTTGCCGGCCTTCCTCACGATCTGCATCACTCCGCTTGCGTGAGCCCACCGAGCTTGGCAAGCTTGGCGGCAAGTTGCGGCATGCTGTGTTTATGAATCCCTCGAAGGTACTCCATCTCAGCGGGCATCTTCGTGGGAATTGCATCCTACTACGTTCTTGGGTGCGTCTTGTGGCTTGCCGAGGCGAGTGCGGGCTTGAGTTTCTGTGCGGAAGACTTGGCAAGACTCACCTTTGCAGCTCCGAGGGGACGAAGCCCGTACAGGTTGTAGTTTGCTTTGGCTTCATCTTGACCACCGAGCGTTATGCGTCTCAGCGTGCGGGGGTCAGGGATCGTACACCAAAACTGGGCCCCCGGCTCGTTCACAGAGGGGGACCAGGGTCAGTCACAGAAAAGGGACACGGAGCCACCGAAGTAGGGTTTTCAGGGTTCTGGGGTTTTTAGGGTTTAGGGTTTTGCGGGTGTAGGGTTTTTAGGGTTCAGGGTTTTCAGGGTCCAGGGATTTTAGGGTTTAGGGTTTTAAGGATCTATGGTTTGTAGGGTTTTTAAGGTGTAGGGTTCTTAGGGTTTAGGGTTTTTAGGGTTTAGGGTTTTTAGATGGCCCCGCTTTAGGAAATGTTTCCAAGGGGGGGCGCTGCGTCAGTTACCGATGGTTTCGTGCAAACATTTTTTTGGGTCGGAATTGTTACGAGGATACCCTTTCCCTAGGCTTTGTAACATTTTAGCTTGTGTGTCTTGCCCACACAGAGACTTACACATACATCCTTTAGTTCTCTGCCTTGTTCCACGGATTGTGGGGTAGGTTTGCATGTTTTTCCCAGATGCTCGGCGAGAGACCCGGAAATGTTACCGGTAACTTTTCGGGGTCCCCCCCTTTAAGGCAAGGGCCATGTTTTTAGGGTTTAGGTTGAGGGTTTAGGGTTTTTAGGGTTCAGGGTTTTTAGGGTTTTTTGGGTTTAGGTTTTTTGGGTTTAGGATTGTTTAAGGTCTTTAGGATTTAGGGCATTTTAGGGTTTAGGGTTTAGGGTTTTTAGGGCTTTTAGGGTTTAGGGTTTCTAGGGTTTAGGGTGTTTAGGGTTTAGGGTTTAGGATTAGATGGTCGAGGGGGCGGGGGGGCTTGGATGGATTGGTTGGGGCTGCTGGTGGTGGTGTTGGGACGGCAGGGGGCTTGGGACTGGGAGCGGGGGGTTTGGCTTTGTTTTGTGAGATATCCGGGCCCCCCGTTCTCCGTTGCGATCCGTGCCGAAGCCCCACTCACCAGCTGGAGGTCCAATCAACTTGGGGGCAACCTCATGCACAATTTATGGAGAGAGCTCTGGTTGCTAGGCTTTTGGAGATTCTTTATAGCAAATTCTCTCGGCATGTGTTTTTTTGAGCACCTCCGATGTGACACCATCACGTGCAAAAAAGAAAACTACCCAAAAAGTATCATGGCAGCATCTGGTAGTGGAGCGCAAGGTGGCAGCTCGAGGTGGCAAAATGCCGTCCTCCAGGCACAGTTTTACAAGTGAGTCTCAGCATGAATCTTCGGCGCTGTCTCGGAGTGTCATTGCTTTCTTCTGTCCGTGCAGTGCCGCGCACATCAACTTGGAGGAGGAGGAGCTAATTCCAGAGGCCTGCCAAGAAGTGCCGAAGCAAGACCTCAACTTCCATCGTCGCTGTTCCTGAGCCGAGGTGCCGTGAGAACCGACCAAGAAAAAAAGAAAAGCGAACTTTTGCCCGAGGCTTACAGTATTGTTGGGTACCAGAGAAAAGCGAGAGTTTCCGCCGTTGCGCCTTGTGAGGAATTCGCGACCTGCAAGTGTGGCTACGGAGTCAGGCTTCTTCCCTCGCTGAGATCAGCGGATCGCAGCTTTGCAACGCAGTGGAGCACGAAGCTATTCTTGGACAATCTTGGGCCTACACAGTAACATTAAAATACGTCGCTTTCACTTTGCATCACTAAGTTGTGAATACGACAACCCGGCAGCGAGCCGGAGAATCTGCCATGAACTTGCAGAGCTGGGGATCAGCTTTTGGTTTGTATCTGGAACGGGCATCAGGTTGTGGTCGTTTGCTGAGAAGAGTAGAGATGACAGTGTGCCTCAACATGTTATAGCTCAGTTGCAGCAAACAGGCCAATCTGCTTGAGACACGGCCCTCTTGGCCGTGGATGTGTACATTCTCACTTGTGCCGAGTTTTGCGGAAGCGGGGACTGCCCGGCCTTTAGCAGCCTCGCAGAGCCCCAGCTTCTCCGAAACGCAACAGGGCTCTAAGCAACTGGGAAATTTGTGGTTAAAGCTCAGATGCCGTGTACAGTAGGCGAAGCCTACCTCCTCTCTTGGCCAGTGGCAGCGCTTCACAGGAGGCTGCTGTCATGATCGATCTGTTGGATGCCTGCAGTTGCGAGGAGCTATGCCTAGCTAGGCGAACTTCTGGCAGACGCGCGCTGAATGCCTTTCAATACTTCTACTGCTTCGGTTGCTTCCTTCCTCGCAGCTGCTGCGGCATGAAGCAAGTACTCTAGACCTCGCAGATGTGAGTGCAAGCCTCACTCCTGCGGCGCGTGTGAGCATGTTGACAGGACATGCAAGTAAGCAAATGAATCAGTGCTAGCCTTTGTGGTGCCTACTTAGCCTTGGTGGTGTGTCTTGACCTTTATTGGGGGGATCTTTCTGCCTTACCTTCGTTCAGGTCATCTGCTTCCCTCATCTCAACAACTGGCACTTGTGGGCCGGGCGCTCTGAGCCTCAGAGCACAGAAGCTGGGACATCAAGGGTAATAGGTGCTTCTGCATTTTGCATAAGAGAGGCCATGACCGCTCTCCTCATTGCACTCTTTGCCGCCACCTGGTTTGAGGCGGGGCCCAGCCGCGTGTGGGAGTTGTCTTTTTTTTTTGGGGGGGGGGGGGGGCAAACACACGCCTGAGTACCGAGGGTTGGCGAGACCTGCTCATAGACTTGCTGGACCCCTTGTTCGTGCAAGAGCTCAGCAGATTCTGACGCATCCTCTTCGCTCTGCTCCGCTCCGCCGTGTTCTGCTTCAAGTGCTTTCTTGATGCCTTTGCCGGCAAGTGCAAGCTGCCTGTTGATCTTGATCCTAGGTGGTCCGCAGCGACACTGACAAGGCGAGGACGAAAGCATGCAGAATGTGTGCATGAAACCCGCATGAAACTTGCATGGAAACTTGCAGGTTGCCCCTGGCTAGTTTTGCATTCTCAGGCCCTGCCCGGCAAGCAGCGAGAGACCCTGAGACGCGTGTCGTGGGCCGCTGGCCGAGCCACGAGGTTTTTACACGCATGAGGGGTGGCACTTCCAGTTGAACCCCCAACATCCCAAACATCCCAAAACCCCAAAGGCCTAAAGGCTTTTTTTTTCTCCGCTCCAAGCTCTCCGAGGTTTGCTGCCTGGTCTGTGGCGCCGTGGCCATGTGGGACATCATGCTTCATCCGGTGCAGGCCCGGAGAGAACTACAAAGCTAAGGTAACCCAGCAGAGTTCGTTTCGTGGCCTGTGCGAGGAGGGTCTCTTCGAGCTTCCTGACTCTTTGCACGCCTTGGACGATGGGCGGCGCGCCAAAAGGGGGGAGATGCGTGGTGAGCTTCAGGCGGCCTTCCTGCTGTGGAATGGGGCTAAGGCTCGCAGACCTCTGGGACAAGAACACCATGATGCTCTTAAGATGGAAGCCCGGCGAGGGCCGAGGTGGTCACTGCAAGGGTGGGTCTAAAGCCAGGTTAACCAGCTGGCCCTGATTCGAACTCAGCACTGCACTTGGTGTCCAGCCTGGCCCCAAACGACCTAGGAAAACAGGATAAGAAGGCTTCCACTGTACCTCCTGCAGCACTGGATGTTCATTCGTAACAGACGTAGCACGAGACGCCCTCAGAACATGAAAGGCCACGGCCCAGATCTTCTGTCCACAGGAGGGTCCTCGACTCGTTAGTCTTCGTGTCGCAACAGCCTTGCCGAACCATTGGGGCAGAGCTTAAGAACAAACAATGCGCTCGAGACCGGCTACTGCCAGAGAAGGGCACGATGATCGAAGCACCGGAACCTCCAATGATGTACTCGCGAAGTCAGAGGGCATGTCGTGCCATCCGGGCATTTTGTCGGACCTTTCAGCTGCGAATGGGTGGATTTTGCAGACTTCCGGCAAGATGTTGCCTGCAGAGAGTGGAGTGAACTCCTACCCCGAAAAAAACAGCCAGAAGGTCGCGCGAAATGTCGTAATGGACGGCCTCCATGTCCTAAGTGTTTGATGCCAGGATGCAGGTGGTAGCCCAATTTGGTGGACGATATGTCTAGGCGGCTTCGAGATGCTTCGCGCAGGCGAGACAGGCTTACTCTGGGCGGCCGCAGAGTCTATGGGCCTCGACGCCCTGACTCTCAAGAAGCAGGTTCCCCTGTTAAAATTGGAACTAAGTTCTTTCATGTTCGACTTGATATTCGGTGTTTGGGAGATTTTGGCCTCAGCCAGGCCATTTTTGAGGAGCAAAGGCTGCTGCTGTTCAAGTACGACGCTGGCAAGGCCTCCCCCATGCTTCTGACGCCAGGTACACCGGTACACACGCTTTCAGAGACACCGCCCACCCCCCTTTAAGGACTTCTAGGCTTTTCTTCGTCACTTGCAGGATGGGGAAAAGAAGCCGGGCGGAGCGTCACCGGACTTCAATTTGAGCCTTTTGTGGCAGAAAGCGCTGGTCTTCGCGCACTTTGTTTTTTTTTGCCGAAGGTCAGTGCACTCCAAGTGGAAATCAAGCGTGGCCGGCCCCAAGGCGCAACTCCCATATGGATTGTGTTTTTTAAAGATTCCCCCCATAGGATAGCGTGCGAATCATCGCACTCCTCTGAGGGAGACCTGGAGAAGATCATCGACACCAGCTTTCCGGCTGTCTTGAACGTGACCTTGTACCAGACTCGGAGCCCACAGAATCCCATAGAGCACACTGCCGCACACCGCCGCACTGCCGCGCACTGCTCCCGCGTGCATCGATTGCTCCGATAAAAAGTGTGGACTGAGGTGCCTTCATGCCCATGCGCATACAGAAATGGCGAAAGCCAAGGCTCCGCCCCTTCCTTGTTCCACCACTTCAAGGGCTCCATGTGTCATTGCGTGAGGTCCGAAGTGATGCAAGAGAAGCAGGGGCCGAAGCCTCAACTGTACAAGAGCAAACCCTAAACCCTAAACCCTAAACCCTAAACCCTAAACCCTAAACCCTAAACCCTAAACCCTCAACCCTAAACCCTAAACCCTAAACCCTAAACCCTAAACCCTAAACCCTAAACCTCCTCTCTCTGTCTCCTCCAGGAGGAGCTCCCTGAAGAGATCCAGGGCGCAGCCTTGCCTGACGATTTTGTGGAGGTCTCTCCTTGCTTGGCTCTGTTTTGCTGTGTCTTGCTGTGTTTTGGTGGATCATTTGTCCCATTTTTTGGCCCTGCTGCAAGATCGTCGGTCCTGAGAAAGATGCACATGTGGCCTACTTGTCTGGCTCGGAACTCACTATGGCCCGGTAGGTTTCAGTCCTAACATCTTGCCATTGCGATCGCAGCCCACTTCGAGTGTTAGGGTACCATCACGTGACATCCTCGTGTCGTGTTTTGTCGATTATGCTGCTGCTGCTTCAGAAAGTGAGGCTGCAACTGGTGGACAGACACATTGGATTCTTTTTACGGACATCCAGCACTTGCCTAAGTGGACTCGGTTTCCAGGCAGCAGTCGTGGGTGTTTCTGACATCATTCTGGCAGGAAGATGAGAACAGCACGGACACTGACCCGGAGCATCATTCCTCGGCCGATGATGAGGAGGCCTGTGTGTTTCTCAGTTCCCTTGATCGGTTCTTTTCGCCCTTTCTCTCCTCCACAACGGCGATCAACGGCGACGCCACACATCAAACAACGTGACGCGCGACGACACGACACTCGACGTTCCGCGCCGACACTCGACACGAGACGCACAAGCGACATGCGACGCATGCCTCGACACCCGACGTGAGACAGCGAGACATCGGGCACACGGAGGCCCGTCTCTGGTCACACACCCAAAACGATACACGGCACCATTTTAGCATAAGTGCTTCTGACACGGGAGAGTCATCGGAGCCAAAAGTGACAAAAATCGGATCCAACCCAGGGGCCTCAAATCTTGACCCTGCCATCCTTGTTAGACTTGCCAAAAATCCTCAGACCTTCTTAGTAGAGCGCGGCAGGGCTCCGAGCAGAAAAGGCCCAGCTGCTTTACGTTCACACCCGAAACCCTAAACCCTAAACCCTAAACAACCCTACACCCTAAACCCTAAACCCCTAAACCCCTAAACATGTTGACACATGTCTACACAGAGACCCCTGCCAGGGTGCAGATCTTGCCTGACTCCTTCACGGCCAGTGACCATTCGCGATTGAAGCCGCTTTGGAACGGCACTTGTTGCCAGTGAGACATTCTCTGTAGTGGTAGAGAGTCTAGGCTTGCTGCTTGTGATGCATCCAGTTCCCACAAGTGCGGCAGGAGAGCGGCAGGGGTTTGAACTCAACACCTAGAGCTACCTCCACCCAACGAACTAAGGGGTCAAAAGTAGCTTCAAGCCCATGCTACCCCAATTTCGTCTTGCAGCGGGCGCATGAGGCTCTGCATTCAGCAGGCCTAACATTGCCCTACCCTGAGGCCTCGCCCGGGGTATCTTAAGGCCTGGAAGCCTGTCGTTAGATTTCAAGAGCTGTAGAGCCTGAGACAAGGAGGAACCTGTAGTATTGAGCTCGCCACTGACCTCTCATCCATGGGGCTTTGCTTGGGAAGGGGTACCACACAACCTTGTCGGTATTAGAGCTATCAGATGAGTGCACCTCCTTATCTCAGCAAGGCCGACGACGTAAGCGCAGACTGTGTCGACATGACAGGCAGACCAGGCAAAATGCTAGGACGCTAGGAGTGATGCAGGTCGGACATCTGTGACCAAGTCTTTAGGGCTGTGATGCGGCATCGCTCCGCGGTTAGAGTCTAGACCAGGAGTATCTAGAGGGCACATACAATGCTCGCCGCAAGCATTAGCCGCTCGAAAATAGTTTGAGTGAGCAGGGGGAGAACTCGTTTCAGCCTCGGCAACAGAGCAACGATTCACCAAGAATAATTTCCCTCCAAAAAGCTCGACGCGGTAAGGTCCGACGCAGGGCATGGCTGCAGCAGATGCCTTCCTGGCATGCTTGGCTAAGCAGAATTTTCAAGCAACTTGTGATGAAGCAGTTTGATGCATGTGCAGAAGAAGCTCAAATATGCCTCAAGGTGCAGACAGGCAGTGTGCATCGGGAACCCCTCGCCACCCCGAGCCATCTGTTTCCCAACCTGCTAGCGAATGAGGGTGCACGTACTGTCACGGAACAAGGTGAGACTGAGTGACAGAAATTGGCCAGGCGCCGCCCCTACATGGGGAAGATAAAGAGGAAATTTGTGAGATCGAGGCGGGATGCTGCAAGAGAACGCCTCCAATGGTGTGTTACTTGGTGCATTCTCCCTTGCTCTGCAGGGTGTGACAGCCGACACCTACCGGAGCGTGGTTGAGCAGCGGTCATCAGACAGGACAGTCCGACAAGCTGGTGGTGTCCTCACCTCACTTTCCGTCGATTACCATGCCCAGCCAGGAAGCTCCGCGAGCAGGCAGAAGACAGAAGAGAAGATCACAAGCCCAAGTTCATCCAGCCACACAAGGACACCCCTGGCCGGCACCCAGCTGGGCTTGAGAGGGCTGAGGCACTGAAGTTCCTCTGAGGAGAAGCGCTTCAAGCTCTACATGAAGTATGAAGGCTGCCCACTTCCGTAACGCTTGCTGGTGGGGAGGTCTCGCTTCCTTGGCAGGCCGAAAGGGCCCTCCTGCCTGGATCAAATCCAGATTGCCCAAGCATGGCGGCTACGAGGTGCGATGGGACAAGGCGCGGGTCCCTTGGTCATGCTTGGGACCCTTGTAAGGATGGACCTTCTGTGGCCATCAAGAAGATGTTCGTCAACTTCTACAACAGAGTCAGAGACATGCTGCGCAGCTCCCAGATACCAGCTTGCCTAGCAGAGGAATGTCTTGGCTCTAGATTTTGAGGGCATCAGCATAACGGCCAGGTCGAGGGGCAGGGAGTTGGCTACTGCCAACAGCCCATCAATGTATCAACGTGCAATGATGTGCCATGTTGCAGTACACGGATAAATCAAGGATACTTGTAGGGCTTTGACAACTAAGAGATAAACCCTAAACCCTAAACCCGAAACCCTAAACTCTAAACCCTAAACCCGAAACCCTAAACCCTAACCCTAAACCCGAGACCCTAAACCCTAAACCCTAAACCCTAAACCCTAAACCCTAAACCCTAAACCCTAAACCCTAAACCCTAAACCCTAAACCCTAAACCCTAAACCCTAAGTTGCTGCACCCAGCCCCAGGTCAATTCACAGTGTGCATCTGAGAAGCGAGACCGGGATCGCCATTCCGGACGAGGTGGGCAGCATCATATGAAGCAGGGTTTATGTTACTGCAATTGGTTTAGGGTTTAGGGTTTAGGGTTTATGGTTTAGGGTTTAGGGTGAGTGTATATAAGGTTCCTTTTTCTTTTGGTGAGTGTATGTACCTGGTGTCCTTTTGGGGGTATAAGAAATATATACCCTACTTCATATGGTGCTGACTGGGCGAGGGTTGGTGTGCGCTGACTAGCAGCATCCGCTGTGCTCTGCTGAGGATTCGCTGGCTGGATACGTGGGTTATGGTGGTCTGGTCTACGTAGTCGATGGGCGTGCTCCTTACCGACTCGTTTTGCCTGCACCTGTGATTTTCTTGATGGATTTTGCACGTAACGCGCTTTCCTGCTCTTGGGGGGGGGGGGGGGACCCTACGGGGGCTACAGTGCGGCTGCAGCGCGGGCTGCAGAGGTCACCTCCAGGGAAGCCACCGGTACGGCACCTAGTTCGGATACGGTACTTTAGTGAGCGACGTACAAGTGAGTCAGAGAGAGGGGGCGTACGAAGAAGAAGAAGAATAATAGGAAGAAGGAGAAGAAGAAGAATCATAAGAACAGTCATAAGAGTAAGAAGAATAATCACAAGAAGACGGGAGACAGAGAGGGGGGGTTGAGATGGCGATGCCACGAGGAGAACGCCGTCTACTTCTGGGGAGCCAACTCTTGGAGCGATCCCAAAGGTGCCCCTCGGAGCCCTTGAGTGCTTGGGAGGTTCAGGGTAGCTTTCAAGTGGGGTGAGAAGTAAGGTAACTGTAGGTTATGTCTGGTTGCAAGGTAAGAACTATAGTTATAACTGGTAAGACCCTAATGTAGTACTAATGTAGGGTACTTCTCTAACCCTACTTAAAACTACCCATGGACCGTCAAGTGTGGCCGCGTCGCGGCGCTCCCACGCTGGCAGGCGACACGCCCTCACGGGTCCTGACGCTGGAGCGGAAGAGAATCAGCCAAGTTCCTTTCCAGCATCCTGCAGACTTTCTTCGCTTTTTGTTTGCATGATCGGGGGGTTTACGAGAATAACGGACCCGTAATTTAGGAGCCTCCGGCTCAGGCCGCCGACCCAAGAGGCCCGAAACCTCTCAACCCTCAAACCCCTAACCCTAAACCCCGCACCCTATACCCAGAACCCTAATCCCTCAAGAACCCTCACTCCAGGTTTTGAGCCTCTGTGGGTCTAATGCTCTTCTCTTTAGGGTAGTTTAGGGCTTTGGGTTTGACCTGGTGGGGCGGGTGGGGAGGGGGTAAAGGCCAAGTCAAGTGGGTCAGTGTGGGGGGGGCTGTTGGGGGGGGTGGTGGGGGTGGGGTGGGGGGCTGGGGGGGTGGGGGGGGGGGTGGGGGGGGGGGGGGGGTGCGGTTGGGGGCGAGGGTTTGAGCGGTTTTGCCAAAGGCGCGGTCCTCCATGACCCCCCCCCCTCCCCCGTTTTAAGGTGTCGGCGGATATAGACCCCCACATAGCAGGATCCCCTCATAGTAAGGACCCCATAAGGTACCCCGAATATCGGAAGTTGCCATATGTTATGAAGTTTCTTCAACAGCATGCGATTCCCGAGATCAGCGTCGGGAAAGAGCATGCGGTTGCGCTCACGGAGGGCGGTCGCATTTTTGCCAGCACGCCCAGCAATCTTCCTGGTTCTTCGCAGAGAATGGGGGAATGAGGTACGCTACACATTCCCTTAAGGGGTAGATATAAGGGGATATAGGGTACCTCATTCCCTCATTCCCTGCTAAGAGCCAGCAAGTCATCCGATGAAGCCAGGTGTAGCATCTCCGTAGCATTTCTAAGGCGTGGGGCAAGAATGACTTCGGGCAGCTCGGCACGGGGGACGAGGCCCGGATCTCTGGTTGCTCTCTCTTTAGCTCAGGCTGCATGAGACGACGGCCGAAGTTGCACCAAACTTTCCAGGAAAACAGAGCGTTACCATCGTGCAGCACTTATTGTTTGCCAGTCTTTTTGCACCTTTAAAGGTCCCGGAAAAGAGCTGCTCTCCTTTGCCTCATGGCAAGAAGAAGCACCACTGAAAGCAGAGGTATACAGAGCTTCCGTACGAGACCTACATCTCGCAGGTGGCCGCTGGAGGCAGCCAGTACTTAGAACTGTACTTATAACCATCATAGGGCACTTAAGGGACTTACAAGTGGCTTATAAGTACAGTTATAATTAGTTAATAAGTACCATAAACCTCCAAGGAGACGACAGCGCTGCGGTTGTCTTAAAAATCTGTTTAAGGGCTGGTCGTGCACGCAGTCTCTCGCTGTTTCTTCTTTGGGTTCTGCAGAACATGGATTCTGGAAAATTTCGCGGATGTTGCATTGGCTTTAGTTGGTAGCCCACCCCCCCCCCCCCCCCCAAATCAAATCTGAGTCCCCCAAGAAAGACATGCCCCCGGGAGCCCCCAAACTCCGGCTGGCCCGTGGGCTACCTATGACGAAATTTGTTTGTGGCCTCGTTTCGTAATCCAACAAGGCTTTAGAGGGAACCGCCCAAGCTTAGCTTCCGGGATTCGCCGGCCTGGGGCTCTTGAAGATTCTTGGAACCCACCCTAAGCACAGGCCTGAAAAAACTTTAAAAATAGTTCCCGGAAAGAAGCTTGTGAAAATAGCGGGTGGCCCCAACAAACTGAGTTCGCAGAACATTTTTTAAGACTTGTGATCATAGACCCTGGAAATATGAAGGCCAGTGCAACATTATTCAGGCATGGCCTCGAACCCCCCCCCCCCCTTAGTATTCTGCAGGGTTGACCTGTTTCGACTGTGGATTGGGGTTGAGTATCGATTCTGAATAGAAGACAGTGGTTGGGGCAAAGGGTTTGGGTGTGAGGTGAGGGTGGCTGCATGTATTTTCAGGGTACGTCGTCTCCGCCACAGCTGTGACGTCAGCTTCCACGGAAGACGTGTGCCACACTGCCTTGTGGCATTGCTGCTCTGCACTTCATCCCTCCAGACATGCTACACACTCGGCAAGCAGAAGTCCGAAGGCAAGCAGCAAACCAGGCCAAACAGCCTCCCCAGACGCACTGAGGGCGAGCAGTCCATGCTAGAGGGCACTGATGTGCCTACGGTCCGCAAGAATCGGGAGAAAAGCAGGACTTGCCTTCCCGGGTCCTTCCTGCACCTCTTTAGAATGCACTAAGAGATGTACAAATAGAGTCTCAGCAACAAGAATTGAGGCAGAACAGGCAGGGGGAGTCATGGATGCTTCTTCTATTCTCCTTAGTTGCTTTTTGTCTCTGACCATGGGCTGTGGAGGGGTGTTTTCGTCGCAGCGTTGACAGCATTGAGAGCATTGAGAGCATTGAGAGACACCTGCCCCACCGCCTGGAAGACTAGACAGGCTGGTCAACAACTCACGTGCCCGACCTTCGAACAAGACCTTGAAATACACTACTGCGGTTCGCCCACATGCAGCCTGTTGTCAGATGAGAAAGGCCATTAGCTTGCTGTATGTCAGCACTAGCCGGGGGAACTGTGAAGCACAGGCAACTACACCATCGGCGTCACCAAGCGCGGTGAAGTGTGGAGCTGGGGACGATTTCAGGCATCGTCAGCATTTCTTGAGCTGCACCTAAGCAAGAGGCGAGCCCACAGGGGGCATGAGAGTGGCAGTAACGTGCAGGCATCCAACTTTCCCAGGCTGTTCACGGAAACGTGGCCCGAATCCCAGTCCAAAATGTCGTTGGGCAGAGAAAATGCAGAGAATGATCTGGGGATTCTCCGAAGTTCTCCTTGTTCTCTTTGAGGTGCAACGGGTACGAAGCCAAGGGAGAGATGGGCCTTAAGGCGCGGGTTCTGCAAACCTGTGTGTTTAGTTCTCAAACTGAGGGTCACCCTTTTTTTGGGCGGCACCCTTTAAAAGGACCCCTTGCAAGGGACCCTCATTCAGAGAACTGCCCATGTCCTTTTGATGTGGCCGTTTCGTGGATGTTTCGGTGCAGGGATTGAAGATCGTTCGCGTCTCTGCCGGAGACCAGCACATGGGCGCGCTGACAAAAGAGGGTAAGGCCTTGCTGGTGACGGCAAAGCCTGGTGTGGCGTGATGAGCTTGCAAGCCGAAAACCCTAAACCCTAAACCCTAAACCCTAAACCCCAAGCCCCTAAACCCGAAAGTTCTTGTCAGCTCTACACGTGGGGCTACAACGATTTTGGCCAGCTCGGTGTGGAGCTGAGATGCCCTGCCCAGCCAAAGCAGAGAACTACACAGAACCTTTCTCCCGACAAGAGGTCCTACAGGCACAGCGCAGGGGGGAAAATAGACCTCCCGACCAGGAGAGCGAGAAAGAGAGAGAGAGCGTAAGAGGACGCAAAGAACCACAATATAATTCCAACAACGAAAAATAGTACTATAATACCTAAAAAACCCATGAGAGCGTAAGAGGATGGATGAGGAACAGAACATGAGACACCCCAAATCTCGAAACCCCAAGGTTGGGGCTTGCATGGTGAAGGGAGAGTCGGTCAGCAGCGGCCGAACCAGGCGCGGGTGAAAGATTGTTTTTTCGGGTCTAGGGTGTGGGCCCTAAACCCTAGACCCTAAACCCTAAACCCTAAACCCTAAACCCTAAACCCTAAACCCTAAACCCTAAACCCTAAACTCGAAACCCTAAACCCGAAACCCTAAGCCCTAAACCCTAAACCCTCAGGTAGGGTGTAGGGTCTTGACATTTCTTCTGCCTGGACGTAGATCTTGGCAGGTCAAGGGCCTCTTGGACAGTGAAGAGGTCATAGATTTTGCATGCCCGCGCCTTGGTAGGGTTTAGGGTTTAGGGTTTAGGGTTTAGGGTTTAGGGTTTAGGGTTTAGGGTTTAGGGTTTAGAGTTTAGGGGCCTCGTTCCAATCTGAGATGGCCACATGGAAACTGCACCGAGGTGGTGGTGGTCACACCGTCGCCATCACCAAGAGCTGCCGAATTTTTGGCCAGTCGCCTACTGACGGGGGCCGGCCGATCGTAGTCTTGAAGCATTTACCACCGACAGGATAGACACTCGTAAAGCTCTTGAGGGTTTCAATAGTTCTGCACCCAATTGTTTTCCAAAACGTCCTTTTTTAGTTTGATATTTGGGAGGTCTGGGCAGAAAACTTTTGGAACTTTGGATTTCGGGGCTGAAGTTTTGTGGACTTTGGAACTTGGAGATGTGGGCCTTGAGAATTCTGAACCGCGACCTTTAGAATGCGAAAAGACTTGGAACTTCCAGATTCGAAAGTGCTAAAACAGAGGGCGAGCACTTATAAAATCCCCGCGAGAACATGGTACGCTGGGTACTTGTGGGGTACTTGTGGGGGGGGCTCGATCACACTACAGCGGGACTTCCCCGTTTTCAGAAGCGCTCGTCTCGGCACTGAGGATGGGGCTCCAACACGAACGGCCAGCCGTCAGCTGAGAGCAAGCACGGAGAAGTCTCTGTCGTTCTTTCTTTTTATTCTTTTTTTTTTTTTCTCTCTCTCTCTCTCTCGCTTGACGCTCTTGTGTATGAAAAAAGAGAATACGGATCATGAGAATAATCTGGAAACTAAACGTGACTAGAAAATCATAAGAATAGTTGGAGGAATAAGAATTAAGAATCCTCAGAGTAATAAGAATAATACGAATAAGAAAGCATCAGAAACAAGAAGAGAACAGTTAGAAGGATAAGAATGATAAGAATGATGAGAATGACAACATTAAGCATGATCTTAGAAGGTACATAGCTCGGAGCGCCCACTCTGTAAGACAGTGACCTCTCGTAACAGCTGCAAGGCTGGGACATGCCATGCGGCAGTGCTTCCCAGAACCGGCCGGCACACCTGGGGGAGAAAGCGAGAAAGAGAGACAGAGAGAGAGAGAGAGAGAGAGAGAGCAGAAAGGTTGACAGAATCTCTCTCTGCCCAATTTGTGCTCATCCCTTGTCACCTCATCTACTGGGGTTGGGGAGGAGGGCCCCAGAAAGAGCCAGAGACTGCCTGGGAAGTGATTGGAACATCTTATTCGACGGAAGGTCGAGGTGCCACTCGGTGATCCGGTGTCGAAAGTGCGCGCCGGCTGGCAATGTACAGCCAGAACCTCAGCTCTCTTTCTCCCCCCTCCCCCCCAACCGCCCCAAGCTGTTTGGTTCCTGTTGGGTTGATGGAATGTCCAAGCGCCAGGCTTACATCACTGAAAGTGCTCGTCCCATCATCTGCGGCGGCATTCGAGCAGAGGTGCAGAAGATGTCTTGTGGATTGCCTCGCATATGCGCCTCTTGAGTATGATGACGACTTCCCATGACTTCCCGACCTGGAGGGCCCGAGCGTTGCCGACATGCAGCAGGCACGGTGCGACGCAACTTGATGCTTGGTGTTGCGCCAACGTCATCTAACACTTGTTGACTTTGATGACGTCTGCTCTTCCTGGCACGATTTGCACTGCTTGCCTGCATCGTCGCTTCGCAGCCAGACAAGCTCCAGCCATAGGCGCTCTCGATCAGTGACCATGTTTATTGCCCGCATGCAAGTGCATATCTACCGCACAACTTGATATTTCTGGGAGAGCTTATTTGTGGCTAGGGCCAGGGTAAAAAACGGCTCATGGTCTGGCATGGCCTTTTTGGGCTATGTGCATCACGGTGCGACCCATGCGACGAGCATGCGCAGCCAGTTGAGATGATCACATGCTTGACGCCCAGTAGGAAGAAGGCTTTCAGAGAGGAAGCAGCGCCCGCGCAGAGTGTCCCGCAGAGTGTCCTGGAGCAGCTGCAGGGGACCTGGTTTCGGAAGGATGACGAAGCTTACGTGGCCGTGGTGTCTGGCACATATCTGGAGGTAAAGACCAGCTGGCTGCCTCGAGCGACGGTGTTCCAACTGAAGGACAACTTGTCTGACAAGTTGTTTCTCACTTCCCGGGATGGACAAACCTTTGTCGGTAGCATTTGCCTGGAAGCACAGCACTCCATCACTTGGAGCAACGGCGAGATCTGGCTCAAGAAGTAGCTCAGCTCGGTGCTGCGAGATCAGGGCCCGCCCGGCATCAGGTACGTCGAACAATGCAAGAAGCATAAGAAGCATTAAGAAGCTGTGAGCATCTCTGAACCAGCTCCTGCAAAACCGTTTCACACTGCTGACTCTAAAGTGTTCAGCTCAAGCTGGCCTCCGCAAAGAAGGGGCAAGCGCAAAGTTCGGCACCGCAGAAAGCGCACACGTCATAAGGTGCCCGTGAGTTGAAGGAAGCTGGATTGCTGTGCAGACAAAAGGTTGGGGATGATTGCATTGGCAGTCGTTTGCCGGACACGTCTGGGGCCCTTCCTGGGCCCAGGGAAGTGTCCAAACGAGGCTGGAGAAGAAGGCGATGGAGTTGCTCCTGAGATGCGTGGTGGTGGCTACAAGGGTGGTGGCCCGCCCCCTTCACATCTTGCAGTCTCACGCAGGTCTACAGGTTGCATAAGACTCAAGCGTTCCTTTTTCCTGATCCGTTTTGCTGAGGTCCTCAGCCAGAGGCCTTCACCTTTCCCGGGTTTAGGGTTTAGGGTTTAGGGGGTTTAGGGTTTGGGGCTCCTTTCTGCCTGTAGGCTGGTGTCATGGACATGGTGAGCACCACGGGTGTCGAGGCCGGAACGGACCTTCAAGTCCTCAACGTTCTTTGTGTCAGCAGAACCAACCATCGCCAGAATCGAGGGTTCAAAGGGGTTATGTGCAGCTTTCTTATGCAAAGTGCCCGTGCGGCGTTGGGAGGTCATGACTGAAGTTGTGACAGAGGCTTCGGTTGGTGAGGCCGGAGGATACTTCACCTTCAACGGACCGTGACTAGGTTGTTTGCTTGCAGGCGCATGGACTCCTTGTGTGCTACGTGCTGCACTCAGATAGGTTTGCAGAGTGGGCTCGTGCTGGCCCACGAGTCGCAGTTGCAAAGCTCGCGGCCGTGAGAGTTGCAAAGGATGGCACCCTGCGTGGCTGGGGGCGCCGTGGCTTCTCACGGGCTTTTTTCATTCAAAGATTCTTAGGCCCAGGCTTGCTGTAAGCTTCTGCTACCACCAGTTTCAATTCTAGACTGAAGTTCTGGCAAGCTTGGTATTCTTTTGCCATGCACAGTAGCTCCCTTCGGGATAAGGTACAACCGGCAGAAGCAGGCCATCGGCGACGAAACCGATGACACCTTTGTCAAGCCACAGGCCGTGGATGACGTGCCATTCGCCCGTGACCGAGTTGGCATAGCTAGCAATTGGGATGTTCCCTCTTTTTACTACCAGTCCTGAATAGGGATGATAGTACCCCCTATGAGAAACCCCACTAAGGACTGTTAGCATAAGGGGGAGCATCCCAAGCTAGCAACATCTGATGCAAGCCAAAGCTATGCTGCCGTGCACGGCTGAGGACACCTACAAGGGCCTGTCGGTTGCGGTCGGTGGAGCCCAAAGTTACGCCATCCTGCAGCAGCGCCATCCGTGATGCTGGTCTGCGGCGGATATCACACAAAGTGAAGCTTTCCGCCCTAAACCCGCGCGAACCCCACACCCCGAGACTCTTAGAAGCCCTCAACCCTAAGCCCCCCCCCAAACCCCAAACCCCCCTAAACCGCCAAACCCAAAACCCCCCTAAACCCAAAACCCCTAACCCCTTGAGGGCTTTGCTCTTTCATGTTACTCCGGGCCGTGCAGAAAGGCTTGCTGGGCAACATCAAAGGGTGATTGCCATCGCTGCCACTAGCCGCCATGGGCTGGAAGTTTCAAAAACCCGGCAATTCGCTTGCCAAAAGAGGCGATTTCCATGCTCATCACTTTAGTTGTAGCCAGTTTTGCCGAAAAGCCGAATGTTTAGGGTTGTGGTAGGAAGCTCAGTTTTTTCTTCGGAATCTCGGCCGCGTTCCAGGCCAAAGCCCCAAGCCTCTATATGCGCCCGCGTTCCGCGTAATCGACCCCCCCCCCCCCCCCCAAATGGTATCCTGCCTGTTACCCTAAAAACACCACGGACCCGGGGGGGGGGGGGGGGGGGACAGAAAAGCCTCAGCCTAAACCCCAAACCATGAACCCTAAGCCCAAAAACTTAAACCCACCAATGACGGGAGGGAGAAGGGTAACCCCGAAACCTTTGCTGCTTCTACCCTGAACCCTCAACCGTAAACCCAGCACGAACCACAGGGGGGAGAGGGGAAACCGTAAACCTATCAGTACCCCAAACCTTGAACCCTAATCAAACTCTAACCCCACAGTGAACCAATGGACCAACGTGAAAATCCTGAACCCTACAGCCTAACCCTAAACCCTTAAAACCCCAAACCCATGAACCACAAGGGGGGGGTACCCCTCCAATCCTGCGAATGCCCAACCCTATCTCTGATGCAGTCCAGTCCACCCCTCTCCCCCGCCTGCCCGTTCATGTTAATGTTAAGTGTGCACTGCGCATCCCCAGTAGACAGTATATATGAATGACTGTAATGAGGGGATCAATGGCCTCAATCATGACCCCTGGGCGTTTGTCATCCATTTGGCTCACTTGGCCGAAGTTGTGAGAGCTCGGCGGGTCGTCGGTGACAATATTCTATCGCAAGCCAGAGATTGTGCCTTGGACAGCCATTATGGACGTCAAGACGTACTAATTTTAACGCTACGCGACCCGCCTCGGCCCGGCCCAGCGCATCCGCGTGAGCATGGTGATTCCGCAGCGCCCAAGTCGCTGGACCCCAGGCAATAAGGGTTGGGTTTAGGGTTTAGGGTTCCGGGTTTATGGTTTATGGTTTGGGGTTTAGGGTTGAGGGTTAGCTTAGGATTGAGGGCTTAGGGCTCAAGGTTCATGCTTTGGGGTTTAGGGTTTTTTTGGGTTTAGGGTTCAAGAGACGGTTCGGCTTGGATTGTGGGGGAAGGGGGAGGGGGGAGTGCTTCGGGCGAAAGGTTTAAGGTTTAAGGTTTAGGGTTCAGGTTCAAGCTTAGACTCTTCGGCTCGTGTAATGCATCCCGGCCGTGCTCACACCCATTGATCTTACCCTTGGGCGGGGAAAAGGGTGTGGGGGGAGAGGTGGGGGGGGGGGGGGGGGGAGGCCTGCTGGGAGGGGCTTCAACTGCCTCTGGTCCTGGCGAACCGTCCGCTTGCGGACCCCGGTTTCCTAGGGGGGTACCCATTTGAGGCAAAAAAAGGGGTCCGAAAAATGGTTTTGGGTTTGGGGGGAGGATTTGGAGGGGGGTGCCTGTTCTGACAACCTATACACCTCCGGCCCGAAGCCTCGGCGGATACCCTCCAATCAATGTGGGTGTGTCCCAAGGGGTACCCCTTTTCTACCCCAAACAGAATCGAATCCCCTTAAAAAGATCCCCAAAAAGGGTACCCCAATTTTCGGAACCATGTACCTTCAAGAAAAAAGCTCCTGTAGTTTAAGGAAAGAAGTTGGGATGTTGCCCCCTACACGAATGGTACTACACTCCCCTATGAAGGACTCTTAGTACAAGGGGGAAATATTTCCTGATGATACTTCTAATGGGGTACTAGAATCCCAGGGCTCTTAGTACAAGGGGTGAAATATTTCCTGAAGTTCTCTGACAGGGATTATCGTATATAGGGGGTACTACATTCCCTATGAATACTTAAGGGCTCTTAGTATCAGGGGGGAATATCCCCTGAAGTTCTCTGAGCATGCTCGACTCGCAGTCCCAGCGCTCGAAGCTGATGAGCTGCCTCGGCTAAGGAACTTCCCTTCCTCCCGTGAGGCCGTGGGCTCTGTCTGTGTGTGTGTGTGTAAAGCCCTAAAACCCTGGACCCCCAACCCCAAACCCTAAACCCTAAACCCTAAACCCTAAAACCCTAAAACCCTCAACCCTAAACACCAAACCCTCGACCCCAAGCCCCACAACCCTAAAGACCCTAAACACCAAAGCAGGTAAGCATCAAGGTGCTGCGCGGGGTTCCCGAAATTCGGGGTACCTTCTTGGGGTCCTTTTTAGAATCCCTATTCTCGCAAACACCCCCAATAAGCCCTAAACCCTAAACCCTAAACCCTGAACCCTAAACCCTAAACCCTAAACCCTAAACCCTCAACCCTAAACCCTGGCTGATGATGAAGAAGAATTGAGATCCGAGCAGGCCATGGCCCTCCTCGTGGCTCCAACAGCATGGATGCAGTGAGGCCTGTTTAGGGGTTTAGGGTTCGGGGGTTTAGGGGGTTAGGGGGGTTTAGGGTTTAGGGTTTAGGGGTTTAGGGGTTAGGGGTTTAGGGGTGTTTGGGGTTTAGGGGTAGGGGTTTAGGGGTTTAGGGGTGTTTAGGGTTTGGGGTTTAGGGGTTTAGGGGTTTAGGGGTTTAGGGGTTTAGGGGTTTAGGGGTTTAGGGGTTTAGGGGTTTAGGGGTTTAGGGGTTAGGGTTGGTGACTTTTGCATCTTTGTCTCTTCTCTTCGTCCCTTCGGGTTCATGTTCTGAGTCGTGTTCTGAGGAACTCATCAGCTGTGGTGCCCGTCACGCGCCAAGCTTTCTTTCTTCCTCTCTCGCGTGCAAAGCGCAATCCCCTCAAGGCCGATGCTGTTGCACAGGAGGCCTCTTCGGTTGCTTGAAGTGTCCCTGTGCTTGCACCAGCAGTGTTTCTGAGTCTGACAGGTGCAGGAGGATGAGCACAAAGACGTTCCGGATCTACCTGAAAAGGTCCCGAAGGAGGCGGAGGGCGAAGCAGCTGCAGGATCATTGAAGGCCGGAGGGTGGCTCAAAGGAGAGCCCTGTGAAGTGTTGACGTTGCCAAGTGCCTTGTAGGTATTCGTGTGCTCAGATGAATTCGAGATTGCCTGTGGATGTGCGATTTGCTTCAGCGTTTTTGCTGCTTATCTGCAAATGTCACCGCTGGACACAAGAAGCATCAACCTGTCATCTGCCAACGTCCACGATGTCAAGAAATAGCATAGTTTTCGTTCGCCGAAGCCGATCTAAGGTTATTTGCCTGCAGACCGATAGCGTGAACCTCCCCTTTTTTATTCAGTTCTCAGAAAGCATGGTCGCAGACTCAGGCTGCCTTCGTGCAATCTAGAACGTTTCTAGCGCTTAAAGAACTTAGCTCGCCTGCCAATGGCTGCTTGCACATCTGAGTATTGAGGTCACTGCTTTCTTTCTACTGGAGTGGTGCCTTCGCGTCCGTGTCTTCGGCTACAGGTGGTTCAAGGACGTCTCTATATGTCTATAATACAAAGTGCAAGGCAGCGCCGTATTCCGACGATCTGTGCCCGAAGCTGGCATTCAACATCGCACCACTCTGCAGTGCTGCATGCCCCAAAGAGATAGGACACCGAGCACCTCCTGGACACCTTCATCGTATGGTGCCCAGGAGTCATTGTCGTGTGGGCGCGCCCGGCAACTTGCGACTTGTGTGAACGAACGAGATAACTGGTGGCAGGCACAAAGCAAGCCGGGTGTTCTGCTGCATGCTGTGAAGAGAACAGGGTAGGGGCTAGAGCGAACAGATGCGACCCGCCACAACGCTGCCCTTCATGTGCGAGACGCACACTAAAAGCACAAAAAAAACACATCAGTTTTTGTCTTTCATGGCAGATTATGCAGCCGCTTCAGATCGAAGCAGAGGCGCAGAGGGCCTCAGCGACTCGACTGTTGCCTCGAACATGTTCTCGCTTTTGGGAAGCTGAGGAGCGATCTCTTCAAGTTTTTCCGCATTGCGCGGATGCTGCGATTCGTGCAGCTCGCCAGCCCCACAGACCTGCAGCATCCTGTGCAAGATACAGCTGCGCCTCTTTCGGTAGATGGACTCCCTGTGTTGTATACCTAAGGTGAAAGCCTTCAAGCATGTAGGTGCATTCGAAGACCTGTGGAAGCTGAGACCTCAGAGCGTCAAAAAGCAAGGCGGTTCTTTGTATCTCGAGATGTTGGAAGCAAAAAATGGAAGGCTGGTTCGCGGACTTGTCAGCAGCGGTGGTACCCTCGCCTCAGGTAGATCACGGTAGATCAGCAGATTTTCGCGCTAGTGTTGCGCGGTGTCACGCGATTCGCCCGGAGAGAGAGAGAGAGAGAGAGCTGCTAGAGAGTGACCACCATCTCTGTTCTTGGCAGCGATGAGCCTGATCGTTTTCAACCTGTACGTGTTCGCCATCTTCTGTTGCGAGCTGTGGGAACCCTACGGCTGATGTGCCTGTCCGGTTTTTTCTTCTGAAATTCGGATATTTTGCTCGCAACAGGATTGGCTTTCAGGAGTTCCCGAGTACTGCCTCCGATGGTGCCAAAGAAGCACAGCAACGATTCAAAGGCCCATTGGCTGTCGATGATTCTTCTCCGGGGTTTGGGGTTTAGGGTTTCGGGTTTCGGGTTTAGGGTTTAGGGTTTAGGGTTTAGGGAATCTCGACTCCCTGGAACAGGGATCAGCGCCTCGATGCTGACGTTGACGCGCTTTATGCACGGGGACGACTCGCAGGCCATCATGGCGAGGAGCCCAGGTTATAAGTACAGTCTGAAGTGCAGTTATAATTGGTTCATAAGTACCTATAAGTACAGTCTTAAGTGCAGTTATAATTGGTTCATAAGTACCTATAAGTGCAGTCTTAAGTACGGTTCTAACTGGTTAATAAGTACCTATAAGTGCAGTCTTAAGTACAGTTATCATTGGTTAATAAGTACCTATAAGTACAGTCTTAAGTACAGCTATCATTGGTTAGTAAGTACCATGAACCTCCAAGTTTTAGCAATCCTGGCAACCTTCAGAGCACTGAGGATGCCTTGGTGGAAGAGCTGCCCTTCATCTGGCAAGCCCGGCACATTTTTGCAGTGAGCTACTGGGAACCAAAGCGCTGGCGAATGTCACAGGCATCGTGGTATCGTGTATCTCCGAAAGTCGTGCTTGAACAACATGGCCGCAAACCAGAGGTTATGACAAAGCTAGAGTGCATGCCCCACACCAGCGCGACTGAATTCGGCATCTTCTTTGTTGCATCCTTACGGGCCTTTCGGGTTTCGACCGAGATAAACGAGGGTTTCGACAGTTTTGCTTTTGGCAAGACTCCTTGCTGCTTCTACAGCCTCAGACGGGATTTTGGGAACGACGGTGGGACAAGTGCAGGCTGCTGGATGTGTCGCATCGAAGCCCGAAAGACGATAGACACTGTATGGCCAGCACAGCCGCTCGACCTGAAACGCTGTAATGCTTACCTACTCAAACAGACACGGCAGCGAAGGTTCTGGAAGGCAGCACGAATAGGGTGTCACGTGAGGGCTGTTCCGGCTGCGCTTGCGTCCCAAGTTTTGCGCCAGGATCTTTCTCTGGCTCTTCACTGCCATGTCATCCTTCGTACTGCTGAATTTAGTCACAGCTGTGATCGTCCAGCACGAGCCTCGTAGAAGCTACAGACACAAGGAACTTGGGCGTGAGAGAAGCTGCCTGCATCACGGAACGTCCGAGGCAGGCTATGGACATGTCAAAAGGTGATGAGAAAGAGCCGGTGTCCCCAGCCTGCCCTGCTTGGGCATCCTTACTGAATCTTGCTGTTGGTCCGACTTAACAAGCAAGGATGGCCATCTTACGCAAGAGGGAGCAGGAACGGGAGATGAAGGAGCTAGAAGAGCCGGCCGCCCAGCTTCGGTAGAAGTCGGGCAGCCGATCACGCCCCAGGCAAACGAGACAAACTGCAGCAAGGATGTTTCGTGAAATTGACGAAGATGGAAGTGGCATTGTCAGCTTGGCAGAGTTTGAGGAGGCACACCCGTGGGCTGAGCGCGCCAGCACCCTAAACCCCAAACCCCAAACCCGAAGCCCTAAGCCCTAAACCCTAAAGCCCTAAAACCCTAAAACCCTAAAACCCTAAACCCTAAACCCTAAACCCTAAACCCTAAACTCTAAACCCTAAGCCCTAAACCCTAAACCCTAAACCCTAAACCCTTTTCGAAGGCCTTCAAGGATCAGGCCATCTGCGATAAGTTCCTGATGTTGGGGTGGGCACCTCAGGCTTGCCATAGGCGAAGCCCAACAGGTCGAACCCCCCCCAACAGGGTTTAGGGTTTAGGGTTTAGGGTTTCGGGTTTAGGGTTTAGGGTTTAGGGTTTGCTACCATTTGGGGGTCATTCTTAGGAACCCTTATGAAGAGGGGATCTGCCTTTTGGATCCTTTCAGGGGTCTTGGGAGTGCCATAGCAGTGCTGAGTTGGGATGTTCCCCCTTTATTCTTAACAGCTCGTTGCGGCCTCTCAAGTACCCCCCATTATCATCCCCATGAAGGAGCTGTTAGTAATGAGCGGGGGAAGATCCCCCAAACCATAGCTGTGCCTAAGGTTGAAGAAGGAGCAAGCCATGGAGCTCTTCTCACTGCTGGACACCGGCGGCGAGGAGGGAGAGGGCCTGCTTTCCGCAACTTTTGGGCGCAATAACCCTAAGCCCTAACCCTAAACCTTAAACCCTATACCTTAAACTCTAAACCCTAAACCTGAAACCCTATACCCTACACCCCCCTAAACCCTAAACACTAAACAGGGCTGAGGGGCCCGAGCCAGAGCGTGGCCAGGGAGAGCTGGACCTCTCCGAGTTCATGCAAGGCCTTCCTTCTCTCTTGTTTGCGAGGAGGTCTTAGGGTTAGTATGCATGGTCCCTTGAAACATGGGCCCTTCAAATAGGGAACCCTCATATACCCCCTTGTATACCCGATTAAAGGCCCAAATACCGGTAGGGCATTTGTTGACAGGCATGTCCCAGCTCAAGGGGGTTGCAAAGAACAAGGACAGGCGCACGTGCACACGGCCATGTAGGTTACTTGGCGCGCGATGTTCGAGTTCCTTTTGAGAGTCCCATAAGCGCTTGAGAGGACATGGTCATGCTCACAAAGGGCATCGAACGCCTTGGCAAAGGCATCATCAGGCAAGCGAAGGGCCCAAGAACAATTCCGGTGCTTGGTGCCACGTCTCAACTTCCGGCGCTGTGATCGTTGCAGGATGGGCGAGAGCATGGGCGTGCAATGCAAAGATGAGCCTCATGCGGGAGAGCCCAGAGCTGATGTCCCCCGTGTAGAGGCCAGAAAGAGGTGCAGGTGTCTCCCTAAACCCTAAACCCTAAACCCTAAACCCTAAACCCTAAACCCTAACCCGTAAACCCTAAACCCTAAACCCTAAACCCTAAACCCTAAACCCTAAACCCTAAACCCTAAACCCTAAACCCTAAACCCTAAACCCTAAACCCTAAACCCTAACCCTAAACCCTAAACCCTAAACCCTAAACCCTAAACCCTAAACCCTAAACCCTAAACCCTAAACCCTAAACCCTAAACCCTAAACCCTAAACCCTAAACCCTAAACCCTAAACCTAAACCCTAAACCCTAAACCCTGCTTCAGGGCATGTTCCGTTTTGACTTTGGAGAGCTTGCAGCTGCATTGGCTCATGTCCTCCAAGATGTGTTTCTCTCTTCCACACCTTTAGGGTTTAGGGTTTAGGGTTTAGGGTTTAGGGTTTAGGGTTTAGGGTTTTCGGAAGAGCAATCTGATGCAACAAAAAGCGCAGCTTCAGGGTTGAACTGGCTCCTAGCTTCTCCTTTCACAAGTCAGCTGTGTTTGCCAGAAGACTTGTAAGACGTCATGGCTCAGCTTGATGGAGCTAGCAAGATGGAGCCTCTGCGATCCTCCTGCCCCTTCCTTGAGCAAGAGGTCCGCATACCCTGCATGCAGAAGTCACCTCTCAATGCTACCAAAAAGTGCGCAAAAAGCTAGAACTGAAGCTTGCCGCAGGCCCGGCTCCACCTTTCCTACGATGTGAGCAACTCGGTCTACTTGGAGGTACAGTCCAATGAGGACTGAATAAACCTCCGTGTCCCATGTCAGTGGGCAGTTGAGACGACCAGCTCTTGCGGGCCAGAGGAGCCACTCTTTAGCTACATGTTGCGCTTTGTGAGCAAGTCTGCGCGGGACCCAGACGCCGTTTGGGGGGCTCGGGGCCTCTGGTGAGGAGAAGCCTCAGCTAAGACAGGATTCCGCTTCATTCGACCAGCATGGCTGCCCAGGTTCAGGATGCACGGAGCATCCGTGCGGACATGGGCAAGGGCAGAGGTCTGGGAGTGCCTCTCCTGCACTCATCGGCACTGCATCACTTCGAGATACTTTGGGCGTTCATTTGAGCAAACCGTTTCAGCCCCGAAATGGAAAACTTGACTCTGCTTGCTTGACTGTGCTTGCAGCACTGCTCTGTTAAAGGGCTGTCTGCTCCTGCGCCACTTGGGGTGTTTGGGGAGGCGTTGGCAGTGGAGCGGTCTCCTGCAGCACGAGCACTGCGCAATGTTTGCTGAGTTTATTGTGAGTGAGGTGAGCTGTTACTGTCGGTGTCGGATTCTGCATCCCATCATGCTCGAGTGAAGTGGAGCTGAATTCTTTTTTGGCTGTCTGGGTGGAATGAATGACGAGGCGCTTCAAAGCTCTGGACTAGAACCCTTTAAGTTGCAGAAAGACACAATCTTTGTTCTTGCAAGAGCTATGGCCTCTGGTGAAGATATAACAGCAAGTGTACCGAGAGAGGGCCTTAGGCATGCCACTGGGGGAGACACAAAAATGTGATGGTTCCTTGCGCCCACACATCAGAGAACCGAGCGTCTTCTTCGGACCACGAGAGACTTCAGGGGGGAGGCGCCTCAAATTCGAAGCCTCGTTGGCAGGCAAGGCACGATGTGCGCATCCGATTTTGTGGTCAGCGCAATTGACGGCAAGAGGAGAGTGGCTCGGAGTTACGTGACATCACTGCGGGGACCCAACGTGACATGGGGGGGGGGGGGGGGGGGGCGGGGGGGGGGGGGGGGGCGATGTCTCAGACGGATGTTTGTGTGCACATGCGCCATGTTTGTTCCTAATATCGCTTATGTTGTCAGTCGCAAACAACCTTGAGAGTGTTGTCAACCTGCTGAAACCAGTACTGCACTGGTTCCAAGTTTCAAGCATTCAAGCTTTTCTTAAGGTTACAAGTAGACTTCAACTTGGGTCTCAGCTGGACTGGGTCCCCGTCCAAACAGTCGCAGTAGTGTTTAGTGTTTAGGTCTCACAGAGGCAAGTCTTGAACGAACTCGAACGTACTCGAGGCGGACGACGACGAGATTGACGACTTGCTTGTCATGGTCAAGGGCAAGGGTAAGGCGGGGGAGAGAGACACAGAGAAGGAGAGAGATAGAGCGAGTGAGAGAACGAGAGAGCGAGAGAGCGAGAGAGATCCCTGAACGCTACATCCTAAACCCTAAACCCTAAGGCCTAAACCCCAAACCCTACACCCTGACACACAAAGTGAAAGACCATTCCGGATGCGAGGGTTTCTTGGGAATTGCCAGGTTGGCGGAGCAAGCCGCAAGCGCAAGCGAGAGGTTCAAATGCCTTCAGGCAACATCGGGCTGGGAAGCGTGGCTGAAGTTTAGAGTTTAGGCTTGATATGGGTTGAGATGGTTTTAGGGGTTTAGGGATGTTTTTCGAAGTGTAGTTTTTGTGACGCCGCGTGCAAAAAACCTTGCGGGGAAGCCTCCTAGCAGCCTTTAAGGTTCATAAGTTCCCTCAAGCACCGAGAACTGCACACCCTGAACCCGAAACCCGGGGGATCCCCGTTCCTTTGCAGTCCTGGCACTTGGGGGTGGGAACACGGTTTTCCTTCCTGTCTCGTAGTAGGTGAGGCAATCAGGTACCCTATAGAGTCCCTTAAAGGACATATGTGTATATTTCCACATAGATAGGGGAAAGGTACCTAACTCCGCCATTCCCGACTAAGAGCCAGTCGCTTCACATCCCTGGAGCCAAGGTTGGCACTCGTTCGATTTCCAGTGGGATGAAGGCAAGACAAGCAAGGTGACGGTGGTTCTCCAGCGCATTGGACATCCCACAGGCTCGGAGAACCGTTCTTTGCACAGAATCTGGGACTTGGGGGCTCCATCCGAAAGCATCGTAGCCTTTCCAGGTGACGGACCGTCCTTCTTCACGTCCTTGGTCCTGTTTGTGGAGGGCGCGGACCAGACTCCACTTCTGAAGCTCTGCCAGAAGGCACATTGGGGACTGTCAAATTTTTAGGGGCCGGATATCCCCACATGTCGACTCTTTCCTTGCCTGCGCCCGTGGGGATGGAGAGGATCGCGGGAGGTGTAGATGCGCGTGGTGGGCGGTGGTTGTAGATGTCCTTTCAGGGAGCTCGAGCGTGTGTTGCAGTGTATATGCTGCGTCTCGAAAAGCGCTCAGTGTTCCTTTAGCACACAAATCGCACGAGTCGGGATAACCGAAAGTCGTCTCCTCAGTTAAGCGGCTGCATGCATCGCGAGACCTAGATCTTTCATCTTTTTCATCACGCACTCGGGGAAGGGGAAGCTCCGCGGCGTTGATCAGCCAGAGAGAACGCGTAGAAGTGCAGCCTCTCGATGCCTCGCGGCATATAGCAGTTGAACTTTGGAGGGAGGCATGTGCCGGATCCACACTCGAAGCTCCTGTCGACGTTCAGCCTCCCCGTATCCGAATCGAGCATGATTGCTCCCACTGCAACAACGCGATACATAAATTTACTCAAATCACCGAAAAGTCACGCCACACAAACAACAAGTCACGCGTCGGCTCAAGTTGTACAGAGGTGTGCATGTCTGCTTCAGCGCTACGCAAAGCACATTCTAGATTTTCACTGCCAGGTGCTCGCCTCACCTTCCCAAAACATGTCATGGAACACTTCCCGAAACGGGTCGTACGACGGATATTTTGGGTTTTTTAACGTTAAGAAACCCTAAAAACCCTGAATGGGTTTTTTTAACGTTAAAAAACCCTAAATGCATTTTTAAGCATTTCATGTTGCCCTCGTTTCCAAGTCGGTCTTCTTCGATTTCTGTTCTTGTCCACGCGGTTTTCGACATGATTTCGCGACTCGGCGGTCACCCTGCCCGGCACAAAAGTAGAAGGGCGAAGTGGTAGGCTGCTTGTGGTTATGGAGTGAACTGGTCACAGGCAGCCGACAATGAAACCAAGCAGAAGGCGAACGGAACTCAGACCTTCGCATGTTGCAAGCTGGAGTATCATACGGTCTGATGGAGATGGAGACTGTGACTGTTCCCTGGCCGGAAGCAAAGGAATCGAGTGTCGTTGTGGAGGTTCGACACAAAGTACCATTTCTGGTCGCGAATCTCCAGACGGATGGCACGAAGTCTGGACAGTATTGTGCTGGAAGAAGGAGCCCGGTTGTCATGTTCTCATGGTTGCCTGTACATGTGAGGTGCGTGAGAGTGCGAGAGCAGGCGTGAAGCGACCGCTGCTTGATGACCTCGAGTGGTTTCTCAAGGACGAGACGCGGACCTTCTATGCCAAGCATGGTATTCCCTACCATCGCTGCTACCTACTACATGGCGAGCCAGGTACTGGCAAGACTTCCTTCATGAATTCCGTTGCTGGACACATACAGCGAAACCTTTGCTTCATCCAGATGGACAAGCATATGACAGACGACACTTTCAGACACCCGGTAAGTTTCAATCCCAGCCATGCTTCCTTTAGAGCAGGTAGCTGCTCATTTGCGCAGGCACATCCCTCCTTTTATTCCGTGAGATTGAGCCCTGCCCCAGGAAATGCCATGACGCAGTTGCCGGCTCTCTCCATGGTAGTACTCGAAGATGTGGATGCCCTCTTCACCAATCACCGTGAAGCTGACCACAACAACTCATCTCTGCATCTTGGGAGCACTTGTTGCGTCGTTTCGTGCGCTCCCAACCCTTGCACGTCCCCACTGCCCTCCGTCTCTTGGCCCGCCTGTCCCGTTTTGAGGTCCTTTAGCGGATTCCTCAACTGCCTGGATGGGCTTGGGGCTCCGGACGATGTCGTGATCTTCATGACCACGAACCACCCAGACAAGCTGGTGCCGCCCTCGGAGTCACAAGGGGGACCCTTGTCATACCGTTTTCTCCATTTGTGCCTTGGAGAGCTTTACCATCCTTTACCTGAGGACCCGGCCGTGATGCGCCCAGGCCGGATTGATCTGAAAGCGGAGTTCAAGAAGCCGAGCCTTGGCCTTTCGTTCTGAAGAGTGCCGGCTTGGTGCATCACAAACCTGCAGAGACTGTGCTAGCATTGAAGATGCTGACATCTCAGGAACAAGGATGTTGCTTCGAAGTATTTCCTGACTTTCTACCCCGGCGCAGAAGATGCCGCCACAGCTTTTGGAACTTCGGTAGGCGCCTTGCGAACGGAGAGGGAGGGGGCATGCTCTGCTGCATAGAGCCTGATGAAGCCTGACACGGCATGTCGGAGCTGGACGCAGCTGCTGCAGGCGGGCGCATTGCAGAGAGGAAAGTGGCTTGGCCAATTTTGATGTTTGCAGGCAGTTGCGGCAGCTTGGTACAGACGCATCTCACAGAGTGCTGCGCGAGGTGTCCATGGCTCAGCTGCAGCACTTCTTCTTGGCCTGTCATCGACACGGCTTCGACGCTGCAAAGGCGCTTGCGCATGCGCAGTGATGTGCTGAGCTGTAGGTCTTTTTGCCCCGCCGCCACCTGCCAGCCAGGCTGCGCAGTACATCAACGACTTCACATTTGATGAGCCACGTGCGTCTCTCTTCTCCTCCTACGGCTAAGCCTAGGGCTAAGTCTGCGAAGAAGTCGGCTGACTCTTCTCTCGGCTGGGGAAAATCCCTCCGGGGCCATCTGTGTGGTCGGCCCTTCCAAGAGATGAAGCCACTTCAGGGGAGCAATGTCTGTGAGATTTTGGCCTCGGCATCGTTCCAAGCTGGCTTGAGATGCTTTCAAAATTCCCGAAGGTAGGGGCACCTCTTTTGGGGTCCTGGCATATATGTGCTTAAACTGGGCCCCTCAGTTGCAGGTTCTCATGGGTCAGCCTGGATAAGGCATCTCATTTGCTGGCCTGGTGCTTGCCAGCCAAGAGTCCGTCTGTGTGACGAGGGGGTGCAGCGATTCAAAGCGTCCTATGCCAGAAGCACAGGGCGCATACGTCGAGGTTCGTGCCAGGGAGGCGCAGGAGTACAGTTGCCAATTGCTCTGGCTCTCTCCGAAAAGCTGAACTTGCGCGCGTGGCAGGTTTGACCCCGCGCACTCCGAAACCTTAAAACCCAAGAACCCTAAATCCCTAAAACCCTAAGACCCTAAAAACCTTAAAACCCTAGAACCCGACAACCCTAAAACCCAAAAAAGCCCCAAAACTCGACTTCAGGAAGGATCAGAAGGCAAGCTGAAAGAAAGGGTCGGCAACCTGCGAAGCAAGCTGCGGGAGCGTCTGCAGAAGTCGGAGGCCTCGAAGCACATGTGGATCGCATTGTATAATTATCATTATGACGTATATAATTGTACTCTATAGTTAAAATTGGATGTATATTAATATTTGTATAGTGAATAGTATTGTTCTCACTCTGAATTTGGGATTAATAATGCTTATGAACTTGGGAGACTGCGTTGCTCTGCAGGACGAGATGCTGCGCTTGTCTTCTCGGATGGACAGGCATCGCAAGTGCGGAAGCACTTAGAGTCTAGAGTGCCAGGTCTGGTCTTTCTACACTACACCCTAAACCTTAAACCCTAAACCCTAGACCCTAGCATGTAAAGCGTGCATGTGCGATTTCATGAAAGAATAGTACAGTACTGCTGGATGCCTCATGTTCAAACAATGGACATTGGCCTCGTTACTGGGTACATGGTGCTTGCTTGCGCGGTGGGCGGCACGAAGCGGTTTGTGCTACTCACACTGCCGCAGCCGCACCTAAACCCTAAACCCTAAACCCTAAACCCTAAACCCTAAACCCTAAACCCTAAACCCTAAACCCTAAACCCTAAACCCTAAACCCTAAACCCTGAACCCTAAACCCTAAACCCTGAACCCTCAACCTTACTCCAATTGCAACCTATGAGCTGAGAGGATGCTGAAGCAGACGGAGGCCGGCCCGATGCATGTGGAGCAGAGCATTCCAGTACACTATATTACGGTGTTGTGATAGACTTGACTATAATACACGGTATTATACTAGAATGGCATAAATATAAATATAAATATAGATATAAATACAAATATGAATACAGCTATAAAGATAAAGATAAATACAAATATGAATAAAAATATAAATACAAATATGAATATAGATATAAAGATAAATGTAAGTTTAAGTATAAATATGAATACAAATATGAATATACATGTAAATGTAAGTAAAAATATCTATTTGATGATCCGATACCTGTATCTGTGTACACATGAGAACACACATCTTACAAGTATTCTTGTAGGTACAGCTTTTTGTTTGCATCCGGCTGATGGTGGAAGGTTGCCATCCGACGGATCAAGGCCGGCGAGCCTGCAGGCGTCAGCTTTTGCTGGCAAGGGGGGCGTGGGCAAACCATGTGCCACATGAGCTTAAATAAAAGGTGCGGGGAGGGGTGAGGCGGGGAGGGGTGAGGGGGGGGGGGGGGGGGGGGGGGGGGGGGGGGGGGGGGGGGGGGGGGGAGGTTTTGGGTTTAGGAGGCCTTCGGTTCATCTTGCGGGTACTGTCACTTGTCGTGTGTTGCTGGCCACTTCTCATGTTGAGGCTCTGGTCAAGGGGGCGACTCCTTGGCCGTTTCCAAAACCAAAAGCAAGAGCAGGAATGGAGACAGGAAGGCCGGAGCGGACCACAGGTGTCACAATGTGCTATTGCCAGTAGAACATAATTTTAACGCTACGCGACCCGCCTCGGCCCGGCCCAGCGCATCCGCGTGAGCATGGTGATTCCGCAGCGCCCAAGTCGCTGGACCCCAAGCAACAAGGGTTGGGTTGAGGGTTGAGGGTTGAGGGTTCCGGGTTTATGGTTTATGGTTTGGGGTTTGGGGTTGAGGGTTAGTTTAGGGCTCAAGGTTCACGCTTTGGGGTTGAGGGTTTTTTTGGGTTTAGGGTTCGGCTTGGAGTGATCGTAGGGTTGAGCCAGGCCCCTTAAGGTTTAAGGCGACTGGGGGGGGGGGGGGTGGGGGGGTGGGGGGGAGGGGGGGGTGGGGGGGGGGTGTGGGGGGTGGGGGGGGGGGGTGGTGGGTGGGGGGGGTTGGGGGGGGGGGGGGGGGGGGTGGGGGGGGGGGGGGTTGTGCGGGCGGGGAGGAAGAGGGTGGGGGGGGGAGGGGGAAGAGGGGGGGGGGGGAAGAGGGGGGGCGGTTCTGACAACCTATACACCTCCGGCCCGAGGCCTCGGCGGATAGCAAAAACCACACTAACAGTAGAATGTGCTATACATACGTATATATATATATATATATATGTATATATATATATACATAGACACGGTTGACAGTCTTTATTATATATCATTTAACCAAATAGATAAATAAGTCAATGAATAAATCTGACGTAAATACATAAATAAATAAGTTAAAAATATACATATATACATATATGTATATAGATATATACAGATGTACATATCATACATCAAATAAAGCACCTAGACGTGTATGGTACCATCTATGACTTGGGGGGTGCTCTTGCGCTTCCCTGGGCGGAGGAGAGAGAAGGAGCCCGTGAGCCGAAGGAGGCCAGGGAGGCCAGGGACAAGAAGGACCGGAGCCGAGCCCTTTCTGCTCATGTCTCGCCCCCTTGCGAAGTGTCATTCACATGTATGTATATATATGTCTATATATATATATAAATATCAATACATATATATATATGTATATATATATATGTATATATTATACTGCATGGTATTATATATATATATACAAACACATGTGTTGTTTTCTTTTCAGATGTAGTATTATTCTTCTTCTTATTCGGATCCTTATTCTTGTTCTTGTGCTTACTGTTCTCCTTCTTGCTCCTTTTTTTCTTTTGTTCTTGTTCTTGTTCGTACTTTCATTGTTCTTATTCTGATTCTGTTCACACACATTATGGGCAGGAGCCACGCGAGAAGAAAGAGAGGAAGGAGCACAAGGAACCTAAGGAACACAGGGATCGAGAGCACCGGGAGCCCAAGGAGTGCGGCCTGGGGTGGAGGGTTTAGGGTTTAGGGTTTAGGGTTTAGGGTTTAGGGTTTAGGGTTTAGGGTTCAGGGTTGGAAGGGGCCAGGAATGCCAGAAACCTTTGAAGCATTTGCAACAGACATCAACAGCTCCTAGCATTCCTCATTTTTGCATCTGGCCTTTGAAAACCCGGGATCTTGGGTTGCCGGATTGGGCATTAAAGGCATTCCAATGCCTAATGGGGGTGCCTCTTCCCCACCTCCCTGCTAGGAGCTTTCTAGGGGAGAGAGCTTGGGACGACATGCTTCTTGCATCTCGGCGCTGTCGTGCTTGCAGCTTACAACTGCTACAGGAGCGACGTGAAAGGAGCAAGAAGCGAGGTGAGGGCGAGGACAGGCGTTTCTTGATGTTTCCTGCATTCTTCAAACATTCAGCTACGGCAGCCCGATCAACCCTCTGAAAGGATGCCGCAGAGGAAGCTGAGAATTGACATAGTCACTCGTGTAAACTCCCGGCAAAATCGCTGTGCTACGATACTCGTCGCGAGCTTTGTAGCGCTAAGGGCAAGTTTACTCGAGAAGTTAATGAAGCTGCTGCTCTGGAGCTTGCGCCAGCAGACCTTGCAACTACCTTCCGTTCCTCTGATGTTTTGTTTAGGGTTTAGGGTTTAGGGTTTAGGGTTTAGGGTTTAGGGTTTAGGGTTTATGTTGCTTGTTTCGAGAGCCATCTGGCCGATGGTCTGCAAGCCCTCTCCAGCAATCATTGCCTGTGAAGCACGGCGGTGATGCAGCACAGGAAACGGGGCAGCGCCCGTGTTCCACTTGCACAGACTGGACACCGCAGCTTACGCAAGCTTCCATCCGCGAAGCGGATGGCTCATGCGCTTGCCAGCAGTTGTGCTCTTTAGTGTGTGCCTCGCTTAAAACTTACATACCGCAAATCTGTATAATTCTTCCCGGATGCTACCGATGAGCAACTTTGGCCAGAGTGCACTGGCCACTTGTTCTTCGCCTTGCAGCGTTCGGCTCCAACTCGGGGGAGGGCTGGAGGGCGAGCAACGTTTCAGTCATGCCGCGGCGCAGTGACTCCAGGCTCCTGATCTACTGTACGGGTCGCCTTAAGTAGCGCTTTTTCATATTATACTAGACTATACTATATTATACTAGAAAATACTATAATAATTACAAAGGCACCATGCTCTTGTCTAGGAGCGACTCTCGACCGCGACGGGGATCAGGCACCCGTGTCATGATGTCATATGATTTTGAAGTCATGCTTAGGCCCATGGCTCCGGTTGTGAGTCTCTCCCTGCCGAAGGCCGCGGCCGCTCGCGCTCAGCGCGTCGCGGCAGACGCGATGATAGCAGAGACAGGCGTGGCCAGTCGGACTTACAGATGTCCTTCCGGTGTTTCAGCGCCCTTCTTGTGCTGAGGGGGCGCCGTGGTGGTAGAAGCAGGTCGGAAGGTGGGTCCTGCAAGCTGCAAGCTTGAAATTTCCGGCTTAGCCGAAAGCTTGTGCTCTTTGTTTGGGGTATCCTGTGAGGACGTCCGGGCGAGGCCCTCTCTGAATGGGGCACCTCAGGAGTCATTGTGGATCTCAAGGCCCGGCTCACACCTCGATGATCCTCGATGTCTCTCCCGCTCCTGAAGCTCCTATAAGACGTGATGCCCCAGAATGGCATGATGTCAGGGATCTGGCTTTGGCTTCATACGACCAGACACCGGCAAGGTCAATGACAAGGAGAGTTTTGAAGCAGTGGCCTTTTTTTTTTTTGGGGCTTTTGAGAGCTTCTCAACGAATTTGGATGCGTGTCAGGACCTTTACTTCCACTGCACGGCGGTGAACAAAGCTGTTCCGTTCGACGAACTGAGGGTCAATGACGAAGTCACTTATGAGGCGATCTGGGAATTTTGGGTTTCAGGTTTAGGGGTGCGCCTGCGGTCTGGTCGGACGTCCTGGAAACCGTTGCCGTTGCGCATTGCCCCGCTAGGCCACATGAAGCTTCACGTGTCTCAAATGCCAGGAATCAAGATAGCATTGGATGGTGAACGTTGCGAGATGCAGTACTGTATTCGCCGTGGGTGCGTTGCTGTTGAACACCACTTCCCGCGAAGATATGCCCAGCACCCACACATGCAACGTGTATCTGATGGAATTCGTGCTCGGTAGGCTCTGCTGTGTCAGTCGAAAATATGAGCTCTTCCACGTTTTGGCCAGGCAGTCCGGGACGATCGGAAGGGCCATCCTACAGCGTGGCTGTGCTGAACATATGGCATCACGCCATTCGCGGAGTTTTTTTCTCACGCCACACGCAGAGGTGCTGCAGGAGATGTGTTGTCATGTGCAGCTGAGGAAAAATGTGACTCTGAAGAATGGCGGCAGTAGCAGTAAGAGAAAAGACTCGCGCTCAACTTCGCGACGTCGTTAGGCCTTAGAGTTCTGAGATCAGTACGGGTTCGGCGCACAGTCGTCCGAATCTGGCCCTCTCCCTAAGAGCGCCAGCACCTATAGGCTTTAGGGGGGTTTAGGGTTTAGGGTTTAGGGTTTAGGGTTTAGGGTTTAGGGTTTAGGGTTTAGGGGTCAGGGTTTAGGGTTTAGTATTCAGGGTTTAGGAGTTTAGGGTGCCCTACGCCAAGTTGCCGATGGGTGCTGTCGAGGTGCAGATATCATGCGGCCTTCAAGCTTCAGTTTGCTGTCATCTGCTGGTCTTCGAATTTCTTTGGTAGAAGGATACTGCAAGACCACACGGAGAACAACAGGCTTTGCTAGGCTCGGCTAGCCGCAGGCTACTGTAGGCTCTCAGGAAAGGGGAGCAAAAACTCTGGTGCGGGGCTCCGGCAGCTTTGGCCTGAAGCTTATGAGGTGCCAAGACACGGAATAGTGACTTGGTGTAAGTGTATGGGCACAAGAATGTGCCGCCTCGGGCATCACGGCGGGTGGTGCAAGAATTTTGCTCCATGACTCGGATGTATTGGAGATATGTTTCCCGTGTGGTTTAAGAAGCAATATCTTGGATTGACGAACCGCGAGCCTTTGCCCTAATCTCGTGCTGCCACGCCGCTAAAGGCTGGGCAGGACACGTGCATAGTCTCAAGGCTGATGACGTATGATGTGTGCGCCATATGTACTTGCACTCATAACTCTATCTTCGAGTGAGCTGTGCGGTTCTGCAAGTGGCTAGGTTCCAACCCATTAAAGAGCAGACGCAGCCAGATACAATCTGCAATCATACCAGCGCGGAGGAGCTTCGAGCGGTGGAGAAAAAGCTCGAGCATTAGGATTACAAGTCCAGATGACAATAGAACTTGTGCTTGCAGAGCGCTGGAGATGGTGTTGCGTTTCCATGCTTCCCTGACTCTCCCGCCTCGGATCAAAGGGTGTTCAAGACTTCCTGCGCTTGACCCCATGATGCCTGGTCTAGGGCTGCTGATGCCGCATGGAGGCCACATCGAAATCGTTGAAGTCACAAGGTTTCGTTCTGGGCGTCTGCAGCCGATGCCGGAATCATGCCGTAGGGGAAATGCTTCTTCGAGTTGAGGCTTGGTGTCGTGGAATTTTCAAGGGCTAGATGTGTTGGCTGGAGCAGTGGTGGCACCGGGGAAAGACTGGTTAGTACTTGTTTGAGTGGTGTTGGTACGCAGTACGTTTGGAGATCTTGCATTCACACGTCGCGACAGCAGACTGTGCTGGTAGTCGTCATGTGTGCTTCAATCGAGGCCCGAGCTGCACATGTTAAGACCTGCATGTCAGCTGGATGGGAAAAAACCAAGTAAGCAGAAAAAAAAGGCAAGCACCTGCCAAGTCTGAGGTGTATTCCTGGGGCAGCGGCAACTATGGCCGGCTGGGACTCGGTAGCGGAGCTGCCTGGTCCTCAAACGCAGGTCCTCAACTCCCACGCTTGGCACATTGAGCGTTTATCCACAAGGATGCCGCACGGCCACAGCTGGTCAGTGGAGTGCTTAACGGTGCGCCCCTTTTGAGGGTTGGGGGAATCGGTGGTACTTGCTGCCCTTGTTCAAGAGATGTCTCATGCTGATCGCAGGCTACGAAGTGGTAGGCACTGCCTGCAGCTGGTGCCATCCCCCACGGCATGTTCGTTATGGCATGGTCTGCTTTGGCATGCTTTTCCTTTCTGTCCGAAGCTCGCCCACCTCCGTGCCAGGTACCATTCTGCGGTGGTTACGTCGACGGGAGATGTGGCGACATTTGGATCAAAGATCTCCAAATGTTGGCGCCTGAGAGGCTAAGCCACTTTTATGGTGTTTGGTGGAAGTATGTGCAAGCTGTGAAGCTACGGCAGTGCGGTTTCCGCGAAGTCACTCAGGCCTCGGCACGGCAGCAAGCGGCAGCGACGTGTCCGATGGAGCTGCGGCATCCGACCACTCGCTGGCTGCTGAGTGGGTGAAAAATCGGGTGGCTGGTGAACAAGTTGCAATACTTCTGAAAGATGTGTCAAGCACTGCGAGGCTGGGACCTGATAGTGATGAGGAAGACGAGATCGCACCAAGGGGACTGAAGGTACATGATCCGGCGAGCGCAAGAAGCTGAATGTAGCTGAGCGTAGCTGGCTTTCAGTTGTTTTTTTGAACGAGACTGCAAAGTCTCTGCAAACTTCTGCAGGCCATTCCTCGCGCACGCGGAGGCTGGGTAGCCACGGAGCTCCCAAGTTAGCCAGCGCTGAGCTCTGCACCCCTGAGAACAGGTGACCGACGCTCCCGGAATCCGCTCCATTCCGAAGGACAGCCTTTCAAGACAGACGCAGCCACATCTTGCTTCTTAGTAGTAGAGTAGGTAACCTTTAACCTTTTTGGGGTAGTAGAATCCCCTTAGAACCCCAAAGGGGGGTCAACCTGTAGTTCCCCCAGGTACTGGACAAATAAGGCTTGCTTGGCATCTTTTAGTTCTTGTGCAGGAATTGGCCGCAGCACCAGCGACTTCGTCCCGCATCTCCTCCGGTCTTTTCCATCCAGGGTTAACGTTGTTCAGGCCATGTGCTGAGCACGCAAAGAGCTTTTGAATGCCAACTTGGCCTCGAAACGGCTTCCAGGTCGCCGTGGGCAGCGACATGCTTGGTGCCCACACGCTGGCTGTTTCCAGAAATGGTCGCTTGTATAGTCCGGGCGCCCAGGGTGGAACGAGAGCAGAGGCTGCACGATGCACGTGCGAAGTCGTGAGAGCGCGTAAGAGCCGCCTGCAGGTTGGGGCTACGGCCCAGCCTGTGGCCTCGGCAGCACTGCCAACGCATCCCGGCTGAGTCTTGACTAGGCTTCAAGGTGTTACCGGGGTTGGCTGTCCCAGGCTGCGTTACATAGTTCTGTCTGTGGCTATGGTGCGGCTAGCGGTCAGGGTGTGGTCTTCGTTGTGGCTCTGGCGTGGGGTTGTGGTGGGTTGTTATGGGATGTGGTGAAGGAGTGGTGGGGGTGTCTGGTGGTACTGGTGCTGCTGGTGATGGTGCCGGGAACACGACGATGCAATTCAAGATAGCCACCGGGCCGGCGAGAGACTGTTCGCGCTGTTGATTCAAGCTATATTCCTTGCCGCGCGTATTGTACCAAGTCGTACTGGGGAACATGTAGTCCATCGCTTATTGCTTCTGCACGCTTTGGTAGCCGAAGCGCTGGTTCCTAGTGACGCAGATTGACGTGTTGTTTGCCACTTTCAGCCTCCTGGTGCTGAGGGTTCGGTTACATTAGTTTCATTGGTTGCATCTTTCTTTGGGACATGTTTTTGGGCAGCTTGTCGCTCACGGCGAGGGTTTTTGCAAACACCGTTGTACGGGTTCAAGTCCTCGGCAGCACCTTGTTTTGAAAGGATTTGGGGGGATTCTCTTCGGACCAGATGCGCCTGCCACACAGGTCAGCACGCCGACTTTGGTTACCAAGTTTCTCGGCACAGGCGCAGGCAGAAATGATTGAATGCAGAGCCTGCAAGGACCTGGGCCTCGAGTTGGCATAATGTCTCAGGCGAGGGCGGCAGCGGGCGCATGAGGAAGCAGGAGATGGAACCGCTAGGTCCGCCTCACAGGTTTCCCGTGCTTGCATCTGCTTTATGTCTGAGAGCCCGATTGCTCCCACAGGTTGGGGGAAGCACTCCCATCTACGGTATCGACAAAGACCGTCGAACAAGCATCTGGGGTTGCATTTCCTCAGGCAGGACCGTTCAAGCTTCTCAATAACGCTTCCGAGTGTGGGAAGTGGAGCACGGAAGGACTTAGGTTTTCTCTGTGCTGGGAGACGTTTCGCCCCGAGAGCTTCTTGGTTCGCTCCGCATGCAGGCCAAAAATTGCGAAGGCCAGCTGTGGTGGAGGTTTCAGCGTCGTCATGAGCACAGAGGGGGAGGCACACAGAGAAAGAAAGAGAGAGAGAGAGAGAGAGAGAGAGTGGGCCGTCGCGGCCGGGGCTTCCCGCAGGGGGGGCCTCTTCGCTGAGTAGAAGTAGAAGAAGAATAAGAAGAGAGAGAAAGAAGACTGCCCCTCAAGCCCTCCGAAAGTTGGGAGTGGGTAGTTCATTCTTAAGCAGTAAGGAGTAAGTAGCATGTAGTAGGGTGTCGAGACAGAGATAGCTCACGGTAGCCCAGATGAAGAACAATTTGAACAACTTCGATAGAAGAGCGAGCTGCTGCACTATTGTCTGCATTCTATGAGACAGAAGCCGCAATAGCTGATAACTCAGATGCAGGTGTTCACTTTCGGAGTGAGTGCCAGTGGCCGACTGGGGTTTCGAACAAAGTTTCGAGCGCAGTCGGAAACTGAGATGTCTTTGCTTTGCGTGTTGAGGCCTGGTTAGTCACTAGGCATATGCACGCCTCGGGCCTCTCATGTTGACCCCTCAGGCTCCGCCCACGTCGCATAGAAACACTGGCTGAGGGTACGTCCACGCCTTATGCAGTCTCTCTGTGGCCCCCATGGGGTAACCAAGATTCAGACTCCGCGGCTCCAGCGAGTTGTAGATTTGCTACACAGGATCGACATTGCGGCTGGTGCTGCTTTCGTGCTCCTATGCTCGGCTGCGGGGAAGTCAGGATCTCTGTCAATAAGTGTGCGGTCTCAACGATCTTCAACGCTTTCCGAAATCTCGAGGCTGATGTCGTGGGGTGACAACAGCAAGGGGCAGCTTGGAGTGGGGCACCTGCAAGAGTCCCATGAGCCGCTGGAGCCTGAAGCCCCCGGAAGTGCTGTCTTCTGTGTCGCACATATGTTTGCCCATTGTCTACATTTAGCTAACTTCCAGCATCTTCCGACGGGAGTTCCTGGGTACCGAGGCTGACGCTTGGCCGCGCCTGTCCGGCGGCATTTGTGATGCAGGTACTTCTGTGATCTTTGTGTGCATACTCTTGCGGGGATATTGGTGCAACCGTGCAATCCTTCTGACAGCATGCAGAGGATGCTTGCTCCCGACAGGCGGTTGCCGCTGGAGACTCGCATTCCCTTGCGCTTGATTCGGCTGGGCCCGGGCCTCTCAGACCTCGGGAGAACAGAGGATCCTCTTCCTTCAGCTCCGGGCCATGTCTGAGGAGAGCATACAGCTGGGGTGGTGAAGGTGGTCCGATGACAGGACAAGGCAGAGCCACTTTGGGTGGTGTCGGTAATTGCTGCCTCAGCATGTGCATTCAACTCTCGTTCAGGGCAGCCAGTTCCAAACTCGACACAAGTGGACGCCGCATTCCAGCCAATGCCCCAAATCCAGATCCGACTCCTTGCGCTTCCCTGCGTTTTTGCTTTCCGAGTCACGGTGCACACGACATCAAGACCCATAGGTTCCGCCTACGACAACTGTCTCACTGGTGGGTGCGGCAGGAGCCACAGCTCCTTCTGCTAATAACAGTAGTAATAATAGCAACATTAGTAAGAATAATAAGAACAATAGTAATAACAATTAAAAACATATTTTATATAATACATAATAATCGCAATAAACATAAAAATAATAACAACAATCAGCACAAGAATAACCATCATAACAAGAATACGAGATCCTGGCAGTGCCCCTCTTGCCGAGGCCCCATCCCATTCGAGCCTTGGTTGGCATCCGCATCGTGCACGTCGATGCCGGCTGCCTCCACTCCCTGGCGCTGTCGCAGGCCTGTGCAAGGGCACGACTGCTGCAGCTGTTTAGCCCCCTGGTTCAGCAGGGATCCCTACATATACCCTTTAAGGGATTCTATAGGGTACCTCATTCCCTCATTCCCTACTAAGAACCAGCCAGCTTAGCCCTATACCTGTGCTCCGCAGGATGGAGCCCTGTATGCTTGGGGTGCGCCGCTACAGGCAAGGTGGCTGCTCTACGCTGCGATCGTAGGATTTTCACAGAGGGACGGCCACATCCCTGCAGGCCGCCACCTCCCAGAGCAGCAGCGCGCCAAAGGGCAGACCCTCGCAGGCAGTGCTGGGTGCCCTGGTGCTCTCTGAGACGTTGCATGCGAGTCGATCCAGGTATCCTGGATACCGCGGCTTGTCGCCCCGAGCCCGAAGCTTCCACTGGTGCGTGTGGGCACTGCAACAGCAGGAGGCTTGATACAGATGCGTGTGCCACGCCTGTTGCCAATTCTATGGAGTTGCTAACTGGGCCAATGACTTGCAGCTGATGCCACATCGGGATGGCGGTGAAGACACTTGGTCCCTTAAAAAAAGGGGGCCCTAAACCCTAAACCCTAAACCCTAAAACCTAAAACCTAAACCCTGAAATGTCCATTCAAAAAGAGACTACAGTAGTTACTGTGCCTGCCGCCGCAGGCTGGCATTCAATAGCCACGGCGACGCCTGCCAGTCCGCACTTCTGGCTGGCTTTTTAGGGTTTAGGGTTTAGGGTTTAGGGCTTAGGGTTTAGGGCTTTTGTAACAGTGCCCAGAGTTCGTCGTAGTCCAGGGCGACAGAGAGCGACAGATGCCGAATGCAGGCTGGACAGGCTGCTGCCTGCCGATTGGTCTCAGGACATCGATGGAGTTTCCTGTAGAAGCTCGAAGTGTGCCCACGCAGAATCCCCGCACATACACCGCACATGTTCCTTATGTAGGAGGAAGAAAAAGACGATGGTGTCGCTGCCAGTTCGAACCAGGACAGCGACAGCCTGCAGATGCAAGTTCATCATGTCATCATGTTCAGATCTCGCATGTTCAGCTGACGGCTCAGTCCAATGTGCAGGTTGCAATGGCAAGTCTGTCGGACTTTTGCGATGCTTTCCTTGTCTCCGAGAAAGACTCGACGCCAGAGGACTCTGTGACTTTTTTGGACACGAAGGGACATTTGCTTGACTGCCCAGCTTGTCCGGCTGGCTTTGCAGGAGGAGGCCCGGATACCCGTGTGCTGCACAGCCATTCGCGCTCGACTGGTCATACTGACGAGCTTATACCCCACTTAGGAGCAGATGTGCGGACTTAAGCTGGGCGCATTGCTGATATGAATGCCAGGCAATGCCTGATGGCACAGACTCCCCTGTGTGGCGTGCTTTTTCAGCGCAGGCCAGGCCACGCGTCTTTCAGTGGAGCCATGATGGGGTGATGTCTGCCATTGCCTTTGCTGTGATCTCGTGGTCATCCCAGGTGGTTCGCCTTCGCCCAGAGTCCGTTGCCATCTTTAGCACCGAGGCCGTTGCTAGTCTGTCACAAGTCGTGTCTCCATGGTTTACGCCAAGAGGCTCCGGAAAGAGAGGAAGAGGACACGCTGGCCCAGGGAAGGATGAATGATGTTCACGCCAAGCGAATGTTTTGTGCACCGTTTGTCTAGAACCAGCTGCAGGACACCGGCAGTGAGTCGGGCGGATTGCTCGAACTAGCAGAAATGCATCGGTCTCGCCAGAGGCAGGCTGCTTTGTCCATGGTGCCGGTGGCTTCTAGAGCCTTTCGATTCCGAGGAGCGTGGCCCAAAGAAAGCATCCAACGCATCCGGCTTAGCCTTGTCCATCCATCTGTGCGTCTCATGTTTCATTCTCTCGCAAGGGCTGCCCAAAACAGTGATGCCGACGAAGCGGCTGGTTTGGCCTGGCTCTCAGATATTGCAGATCATTCGAGCAGTTGGGGCCTTGTGTTCTTGTTGTTCTTGGCCTCTTTCTGCAGGCGCTGAACCCTCCGCCTACTCTGCAAAAGGCCAAAGTTGTGCCCTCAAGAGAGCAGTCGAACAGTGCCCGCGTGCAACACACCGACGCAGCAAACAATACATTCAGAGCACTGCGCAGCTGTTTAGCCACCAAGGGCAAGACAAGCATTCCGAGGCTCGGTGTTTATCATCTCATGGGTCTGTTTCGGACATGGCTGGTGGCGACACGGGAGGAAGAAGCCAATTCCAACATTCAGCTCGGATTCTGACTCAGGCTCGGGCCGATGTACCTCGCTTTCACAGCTTGCTGAGTCAACCTCAACTCCCTGCCTCAAGCCGCTGGATCCCAGGGAATGGTGGTGTTGCAAAGAAGGAGTTGCGAGACAAGATGGTTGTTCCGAGCCCAGCATTGCATGCTCTCGTGCGGGGTCATGCTTGTTGAGCTTTTTGACGGACGCATCGCTTCCGAGCTGCATCGTGTGTGTGTATATATATATATATTTATAGTTGTGTTTATAGATCTAGAACCAAGTGATTTACGTGTGTATGTGTACATATATAAATATATGTATATGTGTGTGCGTGTGCGGATATATATATATATATATAGAGCTATCTATAAACAAATAAATAAAGAAATAAGCAAACAAATAAATACAACTATAAATATAAATATAAATATAAATATAAATATAAATATAAATATAAATATAAATGTAAATGTAAATATAAAATAAATATAAATTTAAATATAAATATAAATGTGAATATAAATATAAATGCATATGTACATATATGCGTAGTGTATATCACAAGATGCTCACATGTCAGCATGATGCACGTGTCTGTTGTTGAGAAGTAGCGGGAGAAGCAAGCCAGGCCGCGCGGCCTGCTCCACAAGCGGCAGTTCCGAAGCGGTCTGTTCCAGATTTCAGCTCCGATGACAGTGCGTCTGAAGAGGACCGTTCCGCTAAGTTTTCGTGTGGAAACTACTTGGGGTATCCTTTTTGTGGTATAGCGTGTTTCCTTCAGAAAGCCAGGAGCTAGTGCCTGATGATGTGATCTCAGCTGCGCGGAGTCCTCCTGCGCGCTCGGATGCGGAGAGCTAAGCTGTCAGCCATAAACTGCGCCGAATGTGCCTAGCCTACAGCTGAAATAATCAAATGCAACATCTAGCTTCCAGGGCACGTCTGCATACGGATCCCCCGCCACAAGTGCTGCCGCGCGATCTCGACACCAGCCTCCCTTGGGCTACCAGGCAGAGCAGCATCTGTTTCTTCCCCCATGGGATGGACTCCCTCCACCTCTCCTGTACAGTCACCGAGTCTGCTGACAGGGGCCTGCGTCATCCGCACTCAGCGGCTTGGAGTTACGGAGTTTCGGTGAAGCGGTCTTGGCAACGCCCAGGCCTCTGCCAATAGCTAGATGAAGTCGAACGTTCCGCTGTCATCATGGTGCTGAGGCTCGTGCGCTATTTCTGCACAAACACGCCCGTCTCTGAGCTTTCTCAAACCCTAAACCCTAAACCCTAAACCCTAAACCCTAAACCCTAAACCCTAAACCCTAAACCCTAAACCCTAAACCCTAAACCCTAAACCCTAAACGCCCCTGCATTGCATCGCAAGCCCAACAAGGCTTCGAAGCATCGAAGTGATTGATGAGCCTGGGTCCTCGGAGCAAAGGCAGCAAAAAGAAGGCGGCGGTTTTTTTTAGGGCTGTGGGCTCTGAAGGTCTCACCCTGCATGGCAGCGAGAGCAGCAACTTCGCCTGCGACCACATGGGTCCAGCCCGGAGGACTGGGGACTTGGGGGGCGCAGGAGGCTCGGTGCAAGCATGCTGCCCGATGATGCAGACAGGCTGCGGATGAATCTCTGCGCCCCACGCGTCTGCGAGCAGTGGCCCTGCCACCTTTTTCGCCAAAATGTTTTGGACCCAAGAACACAGATCATGAATATATATATATATATATGAATATATATATATATATATGAATATATATATATATATATTATATATATATATATATAAGGTATCATCTGGGCTGTTGGGTTCATGGTCAAGAAGGGCTTCGGGAGTCAGTCGCATGCCAGGTTAGCCGCTCTCTCCCTGTCACGCCTTGAGACCTAGCCTCTGCTTCCAAGCCATTAGCACTAAGAACCCAAACTGATGAAGCATGAAGGGTCCCAGAATATTCTTGTCATTCACGCATGAATTCAGGCGCCTTTGGGCAACAATTCCGAATTATTTGTATTCACGTGCCAAAGGAAAGAACTCACATGAGATGTGCGCATTGTGCGCACTACAATCTTAATACAACGTAGTGGAGAAAAATAGTAAGGTTCATAGTGAGCGAGGCAACCTTGTTTCTCCTTTCGCTGCTTTCAACTACTCTCAACAGATACCAGTCAAATGAAGTGAGCGCGTGATCTGAGAATTAGCGAAAGAACGAGACACCAAAACGATCGCAAGCTCACAGCAATTTTGCACGGGCTACTAATCAGATTGTGTCCGTGAACTTCCTTGACTATGATATCATGCCAAAAGCCCACACACATGAAGTATGTTGCAAAGGCTTTTGCAGTCACTTCACTTACTTCGTTCATGTGTTTTACTAGTTGGTTCACTACGTCGTTTTACAATTTTTTCGAGGCCCGCGAGGGTATGAGAATACGCTAGTTAGCAACAGCGCATGAATGACCTTACCGAGACATCGCAGCTGCTAGCGAGCTAGAAGCAGAGGCTACCTGCTCTTGAGCTTGATGTGGATGTGCATAGTACACGTGACAGGCTCGTGGCCTGCTCTTGCGGCAAGAGGCCTCGATTGGATCTCAACTAGCTCCCCGCATGCTCAGTCCTGTGAGTTTGATTGCAATGGTTAGAGGTCCGCGATCTACGGCACATCGGTGTCTGCTTGGGCATGGAGCGCTTGTCACGGCTCTGTGATCAGCACAAACCCCGGACAAAGCACTTGGTCGTTCCAACCCGCTTCAGTTCCATCTGTCAGCAGAGCTGTTCACATCTAACTTTGCCAGATCAGAGCTTGAAGCCTCGCTTCAGGCTCCTGCTTCACATGGATGCGCCGGGTGCACCGGCACTCTTTGTGCCAGCTTCTTCCGTTGGCACTGCGATGTCAGCGACTGAGAGCGGAGACTCTTCCAAGCGTCCAGCATGACGTGCACGCACATCAGGTGGACGCTACTGCAGCAGACCCTGCGGCCTCCAGATCGCGACGGTCCAGACACGGACCTCTTGTGTGCCCCACCAGGGCATGGATCTCAATCCTGCTTCGGCTGGACGGAAGTTCCGAATACAGTGTCGCAGCAGTTTTTTCCTACATTTTGCACCTTCTGACAGTCAAAGTCGTGAGGCCGCGAAAGCATCATTGGGGTCCCCGGTGGCTCCCGGCGGATGGACACCTGCAAGCCCACGCCTTCGTGGCTGGCTTAGTGTCCTAAACCCTAAACCCTAAACCCTAAACCCTAAACCCTAAACCCTAAACCCTAAACCCTAAACCCTAAACCCTAAACCCTAAACCCTAGTGTACATGGCACATCTGGCAGCATATAGGGCGAAGAAAAGGCGCCGCAATTGCGTGAGAGGTCCTCTGTGCTGGTTGCAGCAATCTGCAGACAGAGCGGAGGCCCGCAAAAGGCTACTAACAGTCCTTAGTATGGATATATAGGGATTCTAGTACCCCTCCCTATTATAATCCCTATGAAGGACTGGTAGCTGTTAGGATAAGGAGGAACATCTTTTTGTGGTGCTTTACTGTAACTTTAGATCCTTAGCCTTTTTGGCTACTGTCCTAAGTGCAGCCCCTAAACCCTAAACCCTAAACCCTAAACCCTAAATCCTAAACCCTAAACCCTAAACCCTAAACCCTAAACCCTAAACAAGATCTCAAGTAGTATGCTTGTGCCGTATCTGCCACAGGCTTGATGGGCCAGCCGAGTTGGCAGGAGGTGGTCGGCCGCAGTCACAGCTTCCGCTGTGCTTTGCTGGGTGGGCTAGGGTTTAGGGTTTAGGGTTTAGGGTTTAGGGTTTAGGGTTTAGGGTTTAGGGTTTAGGGTTTAGGGTTTAGGGTTTAGGGTTTAGGGTTTAGGGGGGGAGAGGCACTTGTTCAGCGCTTAGGCTTGGTCAGACCACTTTCGATTCGTCTGATACCATGCCAAAACTACGCCTTCGCCGACGGGACGGAGGAGGTCACCAGGGAATGACGAAGTTCCCACACAGTTTGGGTGTGAAGTTGACTTAACGTCTGCTGTGTTTTGGGGAGGCGGAGGCGCACCAACCTATCAGTTGGACCTCCAGCAGTATTCAGCGGACGTCGTCTTCGCATGGCTTCGATACCTGTACACGCAGGCAGCTGTCTGCTGCAGTAATGCTGCTCTCTCGATGCTGCTGTAGTGCCTGCCATTCCTGAGAGGGATTCTGGGATGTTCGAGGGCCATCAGCGCTCTCTGCCCAGGATGACTTGGAGCTCACATGGCCTCTCCGTCGTGCTGGTCGGCATAGAGACGACGAGGCTCAGGGTGGGTTTGCTGAGGCAGCTCATGGTCGTTCCCCTCCTGTGTCCCCCGGTTGTGTACGGTGTGTGTGCAAAACCTGGTGCCGAGGCTCCGCCGGAGACGTGGTGGATGCAGCTGCTGCACCTTGCACAGCTGGTCGGAGATTGGAAGCTGCAACTGTACGCCCAGGACATTGCGGTTCAATGGGATGAGGAACTGTAATTGCATGCTCGTCTTGTACGCAATCAGTTCCGACCTCCGTTCATGCTTTAGTCTCCAAACGCCGCGTCAACTTGAGCATGGGCTTCCATGTGTTTGTGTGTGTAGTCTTTTTTTGTATGTCGTTGCTCGCGGCAGTATATGCAGGCATGTTAAGGTTGGATGCAGATGGACACTTATTGGCACGCTACTCCCCCACATAGCGGCAACTTTTCTCATCCTGTAGCTGTGCACGTGCGGCCGGCGGCCGATGCCGAGATGGAGCTACGCGAGGTGATCGCAGAAGGCCATCCATCACTTTGTGCTTCCTGGACTGCCCTGCCTGGAGAGCGTGTGGCCTTGGCAGGTCCGTCCGGATGTGGCAAGAGCCTGCAGATTGATGCCATCGCAGGGGATGCTGCAGTTGTGTCCGGGTGCATCACCTTCGCGCCGGGGGTCCGTCGACTACTGGTCTGTCGCAAGGGCTGGCTGGGGAAACTGAGCATTGCAAAGGTTGGAGAATCCGGAGAAGCTCGCAGAGAGACCGTCCGTGCGCGGCTTCTGGAGCAGTTCACGGGCGGCTCAGGTCTCCGCCCCCGCCTGCGAGGAGTGCACTTCCGCGGAGAGCCGTGTGAGCCAAATGCCCAACGGCAGTGCTCTGTGGTGGACCTGCCTGAGCAAGATGGATCCCCAGAAGGGCATGAAGTTCGGCGTGAAGAGCCTTTCAGCGATCTCCAGGAGAGCCTCACGGAGAGCCCGCAACGTGACCCTGAGCGGTGTCTCGATGCCATTCTCTGGCGCCTGGGCATCACCAGCTTGGCAGAACATTCCTTAGATGAGTTATCGCTCAGCGACGCGGTCAGAGTTGGCATAGCTGCTTTGGCCCTGTGGCATCCGAACGTTTTGCTGCTTGATGATGTGACGGACGACATGGCTGAGGAAGCCTGTGCATGCCTAGAGGCATCCTTGACGCAGGAGCCACCGCTTTTCGAGACAGTGCTGGTTGCTTCCCGGGACCGGACCTTCATGGACAAAGTGTGCAACAAAGTCATTGCCATTCATGCGGGTGCGACAAAGGTTCTGGATGGCACTTACACCAAGGCGTATCTGGCCGGGGGAGACTTCCTTCATTTTCGACGTTTCAGCTTGTGGCAGCCGAAGTCATCTGGACTCAGAGCCACACAAGCAGCTTGCGCGTTTGCGTCGTTGGTTAGTCGCTCGCTCTGCACCGAAACTGACTTCACAGACCTCACCCTCGTTGATGTGGGCACTGGTACAGGTGTTCTAGCATTGATCTTTGCTCAAGAATGGGAGAGAGTTAAGGGTAGCCTGGCACATCTACACATACATGCTCTTGACATTGACGAGAATGCAGTGCGAGTTGCCACGGCGAATTTCTCCTCATCCCCATGGGCAGGGAAGATGAGGCCCATCCACAGCCCTCTGGAGCATTGGCAGGTAGACCAGCTCGGCCAGATGGGTGTGCAAAGTCACTCTCTCGTCTTCGTATGCAATCCACCATATGATGACAAGCTCGTCAATATGCGCAAGGGCACGGATGATGAGAAGCTGTCTCGAAGACGGGCATTGGACCGCAGCTTTCTGCCCTTGGACGAGCTTTGCACTGTTGCTCTGAAAGCTGGCTGCCGCTCGCTCTGGATTCTCTGGGGAAATGCAGAAGAGCCTTGACTCCAGAGCGCAGAAGTGTTCCGGACATATTCAAGCTTTGCGCCCATCAGCTTTGTTTCTCGTAGGCTCCCAGCCGAAGCTAAGGACGCGCCAGTGCAGGAGGCTGCGGCGAATTCCGGATGGCACATCAAGCGACACGTGAGGTTCCAGCGCAATGTCCACGCGACAGGGCCGTTTGCAACAGCGTGGCAGTTGAGTTCGCAGGCAGGTGCTACGAACTCTGTTGAAGCAGAAAGCTGCTCCCCACAGGTCATCTTATGGCACGATGTTGACGGAGCTCCATCAGATGCCTGGTGGGAGCTTGTAGGTTCTTTGTACTACTGGCGCCTGCGAAGCCAAAGACACGGTCCTTGTACTCGCGATGCCTTCTTTGAGCGAAGGGAAATTCACGAGAGAAGGGGTAAGGCCCACCCTGGGCACCCCTTTCTATGGGAAGGGCATCATGATGCCCATGATGCCCGTGATGCACATGATGCCCATGATGCTGAGATGTATGCTGATGCTTGATCCCCATGCGATCAGGGCTCAGGTGCCTCACCACGTACTTGCACCTCGGTTCCCAAGAACTCGCGTGCCTGGCGTACATCAGATCACAGGCACATGTCAGGAGCCTAATTAAAAGAAGCTGCTGCAGGACACTCTTGTGGGAGCTCTCGCGATCCACAACTGGGCAGAGATGGCAGCGTTTGCGGAGCAGGCACTCGCGCCTCGTGAAAGCCTGGCCACCCTTACAGTCCTGTCTTTCCGGCTGCTGCTTGTTTTAAAGGTGCACTGCACAGTGCTCGCAGAAGCGGCGCTCATGATGGGACTCCGGCAACTCCTGCCACATTTGCTGGTGCGCTTCCCGGATCATCCTCGGTACACCACCTGTTTGATATAGCGGCATGTATCACCTGGATGTGGCAGGGGCGCCGTGATGTGCTGTCCGGTGCTGTCGTGCATGCTGAGGCATCTTTCCAGGTTCCAACGGGCTTGGAAGGTCCTGATCGGAAGGCCTTGCGCCGAAAGACAGCGTAGGTCAGGTATTGTACGCGCTGGATTCTGGTGCTGTCTCTGCGTAGGTGCCGGATCAGACCAAGGATGAGCAACCGGAGCAGGCCCCGAAAAGAGCTTGGCAACGGCGTGCAGACGCGCAGTCGCCGTCTAGCAGCGGCAGTTTGCAGTAGCACTTTGCTCCGAATGAAGAGAGGCCGCTGGCATTCCTGCAGCGACAGCTTCCAGTGGTAGCGTGGAGGTGGAGCTTGAACGCAAGTCATCCACTCAGTCACTCAGTCACATCGTATCGTGCCATCTGTCATGTGTCGTCGAGCAAGAACGACTTGAGATCTCTTCCGAGCTTCGGTGTTTCTTGGAGGCTACTGGACCTTCGAGGAAGCCGACCAGCGGCCAACGCCAAGGAGACGCGTTCTGCAGCAAAGTGTGTGCGTGAGAGAGAGAGAGAGAGAGAGAGAGTGTGTGAGCGGGGATTGAGATTTGGCTCGCTCGCAAGCAAGAACACCTCGATTCCTTCAATGCCAAGTGGACGCCACATCGGTGACCTGATAGTTTCCGAACCAGGGTTCTTCTGAACCATGGCTTTTCCAACAGCTTGCGACGTAGACGAGGACTAGCCGCCATCAAAGCGTAGAACGACACGAGTGCTCGTTTTGTGTACTCAACTACTGGAGCAAGCCACCCAATTCGACCTGAACGGCATTGCGAGCCCACAGAGCAAGCAATGGCAAGTCAGAAGGAAAGGCTCTGCCCCCCAAATCCCCAGCAGATTCAAGCTTCTCCTCTCAATCTCGGGCTGCCTCGCGCTCCACTGACGGTCCCTACTGACCCCAACATTAGGGGTTCGCATTGCCTCAAACAGAGACATTGGGTTTCAAGAATTTCCGCCAAGGGCCTCGGGTGGATGGGTGGGGGATGAGGTGGGGGAAGCAAGCATGACCTTTGGCCACCTAGAAACGAAACCAAGAAGAGCACATTTTCAAAGATAGGGGCCAAATATATAGAAGAGAAAAAGCAAGAGGCCAACTGGCAAACAAGGCCGACGCAGCACCCTAAGCCCTACGGCCTAAATCCGAAGCTCTAAACTCTAAACCCTAAACCCAAAGCCCTCAACCCTGTACCCTGAACCCTACGCCCTAAACCTTTGGGATCTTTCCAGAGTTTCGGAGTCTTGAAGTCGAACATGCCGAAAGGCTTCGCTGCTCGTCCTGCAGAGGCGCGCCACATGTTCAGAGCCTCCTGGTCAGTGCGATTGAAGTAAGGTTTGGGGTTTACAGTGAGGGCTGCGGCAGTTTACAGCTTCGGGTTTAGGGTCCTATCTACTACTATTGTCTGTTTATTAGCAGTCGCTGCTGCCTGCTTGACTGCGTGGTCGTCGGCTTCACCTCAAAGCTCAGCTGCGGTGAGACTTGGTGTTCGCAGCTTACCTGCTCAGACCGACCCGACTTCTAGCCGTCGTAGCCGCCACAGCCGAAGAGCATGGCACCGACCTGTTTCAGCGGGTGTGCTTTGACTGCATGAGAAGTGTCGAGATTACTCCCTCCCGCAAGTCGAGAAAGCCCGGTCGGAATCGAGAGTTGATTGCTTTTGGGGCTTAGGGTTCAGAGCTAAGCGGTTTCTGAGGTTTGCCAAAGAAGCCGGGTTGGGGGTCGGGGCATCGGGCCCCAGCGAGTTTCTAGAGGGGGGGCGGGACTCCTACACCTTCTTTAGGAGCGGAAGCGGCTGGAGGTGTCTCCGGGTGTATGGGTTTTTCCCGAGGATCGCCAGGCGAAAGGAAGCAAATCCCAGCACGTGATTTCGGTTCTTCCTTTAAAGAAGGCCTTCAAACAAGACCCCCGAAAGGAAGCCCAAGGAGGCACAGGTCCGTGAACACCCCTGGCCTTGGACTTGCAATATGAACGAAAAGGGGTACACGTTGGGGGGTTGCAGGGGAAGGTGGGGGGGGAAAAATGATGCAGTTCTCCACACTTCCGAGGTGCATCTCAATACCGTGCCCTACCGGAGCTTTTCAGAGGCAATCGAGGCTGCCTGCGAGGCGTTCAGAAGCAGATTGGAGCAGCGGAGCCTCGGCATTCCTTCTGTGACCGCTTTTTGGTAGAAGTTTGCTTGGCAGTTTTTTGGGCCGAGTCAAAGCCGGTCTGAGGAGCCAGAGCCACGGGAACCACGAGACCTCCTCCCAGCCGACGGGAGAGCCTCCGCAGTTCCACAGCTGAGTTGCCCGGGGCTCATTTCCAGGAGCCAGTCTGCGGTCAGCAGCGACACCGGTCACGTGAGCATCAGCGAAGTGGAGCGGCCGACGCTGCTGCGATCTGCAAAGGCTCGGAAGTTCTGAAACCCAAACCAGCAGTGAGACGAAGCCATGAGTGTGGCATGGTGTGGCTAAATTTCTGCCCCTGCAGGCGCTGTCGCCTCGCGCTGGAAACCACGAGAAAGCTGGGGAGAAGGTTGACAGTCTACCTGTAAGCCCCCATGAAGTGGACAGCTCTTTGGCCGCCCTGACGACAGCGACTTCCGAAGAAGTGGATGCCCACGAGGAGGCTTGATCCTCAGACATCACGGTATCCCAGTTCTCGGAGGGCGAGACAATTATACAATATGAGAAAGCAAAATAGCAACATTCCATGCATGTTAACACTCCGTGTCGGCACTGCACTTTAAGGCTGGATCGCCAACGCAGCAGAGCCCGTGGCCTGTTTTTGGCTGCTGCAGTGCCGTCGGCCCCAGTGCAGCCGTGCCTTCTCAATGGGACTCCGACTGGATGTGGCACGCTTCCGCACAAGTGGGTCCGGCACTTACGGCAACCTCTTGGATATTTGGGGGCATCCCTAAGCCTTCGAGGCCCATAGGTCCACCCAACTCCCCACCCCCCCCCTAAACCAGGTGCCGGCCTCTGGACTGGCAGCAAAGATGCTTTGGTGTTCCTCGGGACGCAGCTGCAAAGCGCCGCGACGACAGCCGAGCCGCACCTTTCGTCGCTAGCAGGCAGAGCGACCGATGCTCTGCAATCAGCTGCGGCTGAAGCCATGGAAGGCATCCGAGGCGGGACCTGTCAAGATACCATTGATACCATGCCTTTCTGCAGAGTCTTTCTTCTGCAGTCTTTCAGAGTGCCTGTGCCTCCCTGACAGCTCTTGGACCACGCAAGCCTCGAGCTCTGGGAAACGGACCTGGGAGACGTGGGGATCTTCAGCCACCGCTGTTGCTCGCTCCCACCCTTCCGCCGCTTCCTGAGCTGAATGTCTTCGCCCCGATGTTGGATCCAAGGCCTCCTTGCCTCGGCCAGGGTATGGCAAGACCGCCCTTTCCTGGCACGGAGTATCCAGGACCTGTTCCAGGACCTCTTGAAAAAAAAGCCAATTAAAAGCCAGCTTCAGCGTGCGGATTCTGCGATTGAAATATCTAGCCATGGGCCAGTGTCGAATTTGGGAGAGTCGTCCCCGTTCACCTTGTCCTGCCGTGTAGAATCCCGAAGTGATCGGTTGCAAGGACCCATGGCAGCTCCCTTTCCAGCGCATGCACCCCCGATGCTGGCGTGGCCACCGAGAAGCCATTCTTTTGCAACGCCCACAAGCATGGCAACGATGGCATGGCCGGGCAGCCTGCCGCAGCACCATGTGCCTCCGCAGGTCCAGGTTACTACGCGGTCTGCCCCAGCAAGCTTCCATTTGGGCGATGAGACTATGCAATCTATGCCTTGGGGCTGCCATGGACACTACGGTATTCAGGCGCCTCCTGGACCCATTGTGCGACAAGCCAAAGTCCTCAAAAGTACGCTCGGGGAGAGACGGCCGTTGACAGAGAGTCGCATCAAAGCGAGCGACTGACGCTGACAAGTCGGCTTTTAAGTTCTGGAACGTTCCGGACTCGGATACCACCTTATTGAATTCAGACCATCAAGGTATGGCTTATATAGTGCTTAGTGCTTAATGGCAGTCTCCGCACGGAGTCTGATGCAATCCTTTCTCGCTGGTGCCTGGAAGCACGAGGCTGTCCAGGCAGACACTGCATGTGATGCATACAGCTGCATCATGCAGAAACTTGTTTCCTGCTTGCAAATCTTTCCCCGGCCTTGTTGTGGGGTTATCAGGCGATAAAGTCATGGTGTGAGGTTATCAGGTAACAAAGTCATAGAGTATACTCGTAGTTCGTTCTCCTTGCCGTCCTCAGCCCTCAAGCAACTTAATGACCGTCACTGGAGCACTCCACCGCCAAACCACCTGCAGATGATCCCCCTTGCAGCGCCCACATCACATATTGCACTGCCTTGCGTGCTGTTTGGGTGCTGGCGGGGTAACATGCCCATCAACAGATTGCTTAGCTTCAGAGTGAGGACTCTCGAAGCAGCTCTTTTTGCTTGCAGAGAGGTGCATAGACAGCTGCGTCTTTTCTGGCAAGGAGTAGCCCGGCAAGTTTCTCCGAGCTCAAGACTCGGCTGGCTGATGCAATCTCTGCTGCCCGCACCTCAGGGAAGACAGATTGGTTGAATTTTCCATGGATGTAGGGCACCCTAAACCCTAAACCCTAAACCCTACACCCTAAACTTTTAAGCCCTAAACCCTAAACCCTAAAGGGCTGATTCTGCCATGGATGCCTGCGGAGTCCATGTGGCTTTGATGGGATTATAGGAGGGATTCCCTCACTCCTATATATATATATATATATGTACCCTTTCAGGGATTATATAGGGTACCCTCTATCCCCTCTCTATATATATATATATATCTATACCCTTTGAAGGATTATATAGGTATTCCCTCACTCCCTCATTCCCCACGAACCAACAGTAAGAGTTATGAGCCGGTGAGTGCCAGGCCCAGAAGTCTGGCGCGCAGCTTCAGCGATGTGCCCGCTCCCCAGCTTCCCGGCAGGGGTTGAGGATTTTGGGGTTTAGGGCTTAGGGTTTAGGATTTTGGGGTTTAGGGTTCAGGGTTTAGGGTTTAGGATTTTGGGGTTTAGGGTTCAGGGTTTAGGAGTCCTAAAGACTTTCCATGTCCTGCTGATCACGTGCTGTCTTGAGTGAATCCCCAAACTGCTATACTAACAGTCCTTAGAAGGGATTTGTAGGGGGTTACTATGGTTACTACAATCCTTATGAAGGACTGCTAGTAGAAGGGGGAGCATCCCAAGTTACATACCGCTACACAGGGTACGTTGCCCTTGAGTGTCGTGAGCTCCAGGTGAACTATTTCGACTCGCACGAGCAGAGAGGCTTTCGGCGAGAGGAAGGGAAAGGCGCCGGCCGAAAGAAGCTGATAAGCATGATGGTGCTGAAAGATAGAACTAACAGCAAGAAGGCTCAGCATGAGTGTTTAAGAAGAGTATTACACATGATCTTCCGTAGTAGAATTAGGTAGTGTGGCAGCACTTCTTTCTGTCATCCTGTCTTTCTGGTGCAGGTCATGGCCGCTGGGAACTCCTCGTGCGCATCACAGATGCCTGGGATGTCGCCGCTTCGTTAAGGCATGGGTTTACCACGTGTTGTTCACTGCCCAAGGCAGCCGTGCTGGGCCTGAGCATCTTTCTGCTGCCAGCTGGAGCAAGGTCCCCCCCCCTGCAGATGGGGGGATTTGGGGGGGGAGTTTGAAGCCTGTGTGGAAGCGCCAGCCTCCGGGTTCCTCCAGTCGCCGCATGCCGCATGTTTGGTGGTGTTTTTGTTGACATTTTTTTGTGTTTTTTTGAGCTGTTTCTTATACAGGCAGAGCATCTACGGTGGCCTCGTCACGGTTCTGGAGCCAGTCATGGCCTGGAGCACAAGTTCCCACTGTGACTGCTCTCTCCCCTTGCCAGTGCAGTGAGTTGAACATGAGAAGCGCTGAATGCTTCTTTTGGGGAGGCCCTGGCTTCTTATCTGGACCTTGGGTCGTCCCTCTCTTTCGGGACAGAGGTGCAGCGGCTGTATGCGCGCGCCTGAGGAAGACCACGCGCGGCAGACGTCGAGAGGTTATCAAGGGCACCGGAGACCGTGTTGAAGCCAAAGCCGCTGGGGACCATGCTCGCAAAGTTTCAAGAATAGCTTCCTTTTTTTTGTTTCTGTCTGTATACAACGTGAGAGAATTAAATGTCCTAAGAATATTCCCCATCAGCCGGGGCCGCGCTTGGTGGTTCGAACCTTCAGTGGAAAGATCAGGTTGAGGTAGGTGCGAGGCAGCGGAGGTTCAGGACGGCTCTCGCCGGCGCTCGTGTTGGGTTTCAATTTGCGTGCGTAGCGGCCTGGCGCTCCTAGATGCAGACACGAGGAACATCCCGAAACCCTAAAACCCATACGGTGAATCTGCCTTCCTCATTTTTTCCTCCGCCTCTGGGGCTCTGAGATGGTGCTTCGTGTCGAAAAGGACTAGGTATGTCGCATGGTTCGACTCATGGCACTCCCGCGGTCCCGTGAGGTTTAGGGTTTGGGGTTGTAACATTTAGGGTTTAGGGTTGGGGGTCGTTGTTTGGGTCCCTCGGATGGTAGCAGCAAGCTCTGAGCCCTCCAGTAAGCAGTTTCGGCTCAGTTAGGCTCCATTTCTTCTGTCGATCCTTCAGCCTACGTCATCTTGGTGTGAGGGCATTCTGATCCATTGAGAAAATTCGCACGTCGGATGCCGCCACTTGATTTGTACGGAGGCTTTTGCTCTGTAAGCGACCTCGCCGCCATGAGCCCCGACATACTCGTATGTGGGTTTAGGATATTAGGGGTCTTTTCTTTGGGATCCTTACTATAAGGGAATCCCCTTGTTTGGGGTCTACACTAAGGGTCCATAAGGGTCCCCAAATTCTCGTAAATCCCCATGTCGATATGTTTCAGCACATCCATAGGCCTTGAACATCCTGGTGATCGTCGTTCTGGTGGGGGTGGCTGGAATCTCAGACTTCAAGGTCATGGCGGCGCCGGCAGGTCTTCACTTGGTCAAGATGTAGAATCGGGTCCCGTTTCAAGTGGTGACTCCTGTCTAGAGCTGAGGAATGGCGTTAAGAATGGGCCTGGGGGGATGTGGCGTATGGACTCCTGGGCCTGCAAGAGTGCACGAGCCTGATTTTCAGGTCTACTCTGCATTGCAAAGGTAGGCCGGGGCCCAAGGCATCTTGTGTCGAGACAGAAAGATCTCAGCGCATCTCCTGAGGCTTAGCTTATGAGGCCTCACTTCCTTTTTTCGCCTGCGAATTAGTCGTAGGCTGGTGCCATTTGAACACTTTGCCAGCTCAAGCGTCTAGAAGACACGAATGCAGATAGATTCACAACAGCATGTCAAAGAGTGGCGCCAGATGGCGCGTGTATCGTTTGTCAATCTTCGCTCTTCTGCTTTGCAGCCGAATGAGCATCAAGCGCAGCAGTTTCAACGTTCAGCTTCTCGCTCGAGATGTACATTAAGCTTCTTAGGCTCTTTGGAGCTTTCTGCCAGCGTCGACAGTGTGGCGCTCGCAAGTTCGCTCCCGGATAATGGATTTCGCTCCCGGCGCAAAGTTGAAAACGCTGCAGGCAATTTCGCTGGCAGCCGATGCATTTTGCTCGCTTGGTTGGCCTTACACGGCCTGCTTACTTGGAAAGAGATCGCAAAGACAGTAACTTCTGTAGCCGTTGTTGATCTCGATGCAGTGGCATGCAGTCAGTAGCGTTACCAGCGCACGCCAGTTCGAACTGAACGCGGCCTTGCGACACAACCCCTTACCAGCCTCTGATGGTGACCCCGTCATCATGAGCGTAAATGCTTTAGAGTTCTGTCGCAAGATACCCATCCTCATCTGTCGCCGATGAAGTCCACGTTGCTAGCCGCAGCGCAGCCCAAGATGGAGCTGCGCTGAGCTGACGCAGCCGACCGGCCCTCGGCTTCGGTCTGTCCCCTGCTGCCGCCTTGCGCTGTGCCGCCTTGCGCTTTGCCGGTGACCGCAACTCAGGACGTCGATGCCCGATGTCGCTGAGGCAGGTGGCGCTCTGGGGGCCAGAAGCTTCAAGAGTCCAGTGATGTCTGCTAGAGTCTACTAGAGTCTATAGAGACTCTGAAGGCCATCTGCATCGACTCGGAGGAGGAGCGTTCGCTTGTTTCAAGCGAAGATCGGCAGCACGACATCCATCGCCCCGGCTCGGCTCTCCAGGAACCGGCGCCCCAGCCGAAGCGAAAGAAAAGGAGGAAGCAGATCGCACCTCAAGCTGCAAAGGCCGGACAAGTTTTGAAGGGTTTTGCAGGGTTTGATGCTTGGTTGAGCTCGTGCTTCTTCGTATTGAAGGAGCTGGTCCCTCTTCCAAGCTGCATCGACTTGGATGCAGAAGAGAAGGAGCGTGTTTTTCCAGCAAGTTCCGGCATGTCCTGCAGCATTTGTGCCGTTGATTCAGAGCGATGGACAGGCAACCGGCGATCAGCCTGGATTAGCAGGCTTCAGCTCTTTGTCATCGCTTGCCCAACATCTTTTTAGACGCAAAAAAAGCCAAAAAGCCACGAAGACCGAGTGGCAACAGTGATGCTGGAAAGCTTGCTCTCTAGGTGCCAACGGCTCCAAGGCAGCATCCTCTTTGCTTTCGATTGAACACTTCAAGGAATGAAGCGAAGAGACATGGTTGACATACATGAGGCAGCTGAGAAGCCTGCCCCCCTTGATGCGCAAGCTGTGTGTCTGTCGTCTGACGAGGAGGTGCAGTTGCGTGCTCGTATAGATTTCGGGCAGCTCAGCATGCTCCTTGACAGGGACCCGCCTTGCTCAAAAGCAGCCAGGAACAGGCCGAACATGTCGGCACGGAAAGCCAAAGAAAAGGTAGTCTGTTGCGAAATGGCAGGTCACATGTGGACCGGCGGACCGCGAGCTCGAACAGCGGGCTCAGGCAAAAAATGCTGGGCAGAAGTCGGGTGCAGAAGTTCAAGTGGCTGGCAAGATCTGCAGGAGCTGGCCGACGTGGCGCTCCAGAACCTGGCACCTGCTGCGCGAGCAGCACGGTTAGTCAAGGTGTTCTTCAGATCCTTCCCCATCCCTCCCCAATCCTCCTCTTCTCAGCAGGATGGCTAACCGCTGTTGCTCGGATGATTGGCTCCATCTGGCAGGTCAAGCACAGTATTCTTGCACGCTTACGAAGTCAAGCAGAGACAGGAAGTCTTAGCCCTGGCAAGCTTTTAGACAAGAGTCCTCTTGCTTCGGCAGCTGGGGAGTGCTCAGGTCTTCCCAGCCTCCCAAGTCTTTCAAGTCTTCCGAGCGTGGCCGAAGACGTGCCGCCACCTCCACCACCGGAGGAACTTCGCAGTTTTGATTGGATGCTGACAAGCTGTGTTAATCCGCGGATGCACGCACACGCGGTAAGCAGACTTGCTGGATCCTGTGCAGGAGGCACGCGCTGAAGCTTTACAGCAGAGCGCACAGAGCGCAGAGCTCATGCAGCAGAAGCAGCGCCTGCAAGACTGGCTGGAGCGAAACCAGGAAAGGTTACAGGAGCGGCTGGTCCAAGCGGAGCAGTCCCTCGCATGCATTTTTGAACGGCTTCTGGATGAGTTGCGGGGCCCCGGGGGTAAAAGTTCAGCACTTTTTGAGAAAGGCACTTGGGGCCACGTCTGTCAGGCAGCGCCTCGATCCCGACCATCGGAGGAAGGAAGGGGAGCGGCTGCGAGAGGAGGCAAGGCAGAAGCGCAAGGCCTGTCTCAGTTATATATATATACACACATAATATACAATATATATATATATATGTATATAATACAATATGCATATACATTTACATATATATATATATATATATTATGGTTATGATGAGAGCACTGCTGTTAGACTTGTTTGAACCAGCTCTTGCCTTTACTTTCTGCACGTGGTCGCATTCAGTGGGCTGTGTATAGATAGGGCCAAGAAGGTTCGGTAAAAGCTGCAGGGGGGGACTCCGGTGTGTGAAAAGGCTGAGCTCCCTTCAACAGGTGCAGAACTGGATTTAACCCTAAACCCTAAACCCAGTCTGAAACCTTCTGCCGTTCAGAGGCACCAAGACCATTGAGGGGGTTTTGGGGTTCAGGCGTATGGCTTGTGGGATCTCTTTTAGGGCTTCCGGGCTCTGGTTGTGTCTCCCGATGCTCATGATGCAAGAACGCAGGCCGGGATAGGCTCTCTTCCCGTCAAGCTGCAGCAGATTTCTGGCGACCCGGCCTGCTGCTGCTGATGCCTCGGCACCCCGGAAAGGAGAGATGCGCCCCTGGGCCAGCATGGACACCCCAGGGGCGGCTCGACGAAACCGGAAAAACCTCGGCACTCACGGTGTTTTTCCTTACTTTGGGCAGTGCTCATGACGCACCTTTCCGGGCAATGGTTCCCTCCCTACAATCTGGTTTCCGGCAGCATTGACTGGCAAGTCCGATGATGCGGGTGATACCGCAACGAAGCCAGGTTAACTTCGGCTTTAGCATCCAAAGCACATCAGCAGGGTTCCGGAGGGCCGATCCCACCCGCTCGAGGGCCAGTCCGGATTTTGACGGATTCGCCTGATTGCCTCCGGACTCCCCGGAAGGCTGCATTTTTGGCCAACCCCTTGGCCCCTAACGGTATTTTAGGTAGACACGCACCAGCAGTTCGAGTACGGTAGGGGTTGACCTTAGGTGGGTGTGTGTCTCGTTGCTTTCATCTGAGGACATGCTGCTGACTTTGTTATACGAGCCCGAAAGCTTGTTTGCAAAATGCAGGCGATATGGAGCATGCCAGAGGCTGAAAAGCTGAGCTCCGAACAGAAAGATGGCAGGCAGGTGACAGTGACGCTTGCGGGTTTTACACGTCGTCATGCTATTGCCAAGTTGGGCTGGCGCTCGGCGCTCGCTAGATTGCTAGGCTCACGGCCAACGGCTGGGAGAGCAGCCAGTTTCACAACAGCAAGGATCTGCGTGGGGAAGCCTCGGAAAGCCTGTGCCTGAAAGCCGCTGTGTCACCGATGTCGTGCAGGAGCGAATGAAGTTTCTTCGCTTGATGGGTGGACAGAAGTTTGCAGAAGCCGCAAAAGCTCTGGCACCACGGTTGCATTACCTTGGAGAGACGTCGGGTGCAGAACAGAATGAATCTGCAGCTCGAAGAGCCGAGGAGGCTGGTGTCGATGACGACCAGGTCTTTGAACTCATAGCGGGGGAGTGGGTCCAAGCAAAGGAGGCTGAGGAAGAGGAGGCGGGCCCATGTGAGGTGTTTCCCCCGCTCTCCACTTGGTTGAAGATTTGAGTCGTTTGCGGGCGTCAGGAGTTTGAAGTTAACGCCGATGCTCCCACAGTGGAGCTACTGGCAGGACGGACTGGGTAAGGCTGCCAACCATCAGCTCTATTTTATGCATAAAACATTACATTGTCGAACTGTTACATATTGCATATCATGTACTTGTCGTATATGTATATTGTATATGTATATATTCAAAATGCTATATTATATACCATATACTATATAACTATATATATATATATATATATATATATATATTTATATTTATATTCTAATATTGTTATATTCTTTAATGTTATATAAAAAATAAATGTAAATATAAATATAAATATGAATATAATTATAAATTTAAATACAAATATCAATATAAATATAAATATAAATATAGATATAAATATAAGTATAAATAAATAAATAAATAATTAAATTGTGAAGTCGACCAGCACTGGACTTGCACTAAGCCAATGCAATCACAGCCCGGTCACGCTGTTTTACGACTTCGCGAGTCCAAGCACTTGTGCAGCTACGCCTGAGTGCGTCCGGTCGGACCGCACAGCAACCTAGGAGCTACTGTACGACTCTACCGTGCTCAAAGGCACAAGCTCGGTACTTGAGCCAAAATATTGGCATTGTTACGAATTGCAAAACTACACATGCAAGGGAAAACTACAAGCTGCACTAGCACTAAGCAAGCACTCCATGCATGCTTTGACCTGCTCACATTCGCCCCTCAGCCGAGGCTTCCGGCTCACCAAGAGCTCATAGTGCGTCAAGCACTTCAGCAACGCGGCAAATGGGGTAGGGTGAGGGTGTCGCGTGCGACTCTGGTAGAGCCCGCACATCATGAGCATTGGCATGCGGCTTGGGCGGCAGCCCGCACTACCGGACGGACGCACGACGACAGCAACCCTCCACGACCCTAAACCACCCCAAGTCGCGAGCTCTCACCTTTGTGCAGACAGGCGAGGCTCCAGAGTACTGGGCAGGTCTTTGTGCTGCTAGTGCAAAGCTATGGTACAAATGGTACACTGTACACTACCGGTCCTAAGCTACGGCTACGGCTACTCATCTATCCGGAACTACCCTACGGGCTACCAGACTCAGCGAGAGCCGCGCACATGGCTTGTGCCGCAGGCAATGCAGCTCACACGCGCTTCGGCGAGCGCATTGCCGCGACCAGGACACGGTCCGCAGCACCTGCAAAAGAGCACCCTCAGCAGGAGGGGCCACAGGCAGGGCGGAGGAGAAAGGTGCGGGGAATGCAAAATGGGCAGGTTTCCAACCTGCCGCGGCTTTTCGCCCGCAGTCAAGCAAAAGAAAATGCGAAAGGTTGGCGAAGCAACGTGCCGTGCTGCAACGCCTGCTCTGATAATGCGTGGATGCATACCACGCCGCGCCGACTGGCCGCAGCCTACTCGATACCCTGTGGAGCAGTGTTGGGGGCACGAGTGGCGTTGCCAGCAACGTTGGAGCTACTGGCTCGCTCCAACTGAGGGCGCCTTGCGACCGCCTCATCGAGGGAGAATGCCTCAGCCGACACCCTCTGGAAATCCTCGATGTAGGACTGCGCGACCGGGTGCGTCTTGGGGACCTCAAGCCTAAGCCCTGCCTCCGCATTGGCTTTGCTGCTTGTGGTAAAATTGAGGCTCCCAATCAGCACCACCGCGCCATCAGGCCGCAGTAGGCAAAGGGCCTTGGCATGGTGAAGCCCTTGGATACCGGTACCTACTTTAGCCCCGCGGCCGTCGCGAGCATAGGCGTCGCGCACGGATGTGCCGCAACCCACCTTCACCTCGGCGCCTGCAGCCGCCAAGCGTTTCAACGCTTGCCACTGCAGTTTGGTGCGGTGGCATTGTCCCATGTCGGCGACAATCCGAACGCCTGCGCCCTTGCTAAGCGACGCTTCGATTGCCTCGATGCAGGATGGGCAATCTAAGCTGTACGCCCGGATGTAGATCACATCCTCTGCTGCTCCAGACCCAAGCAGCGTTTGGGCGGCCTGAACGTATGGCCCGCCCGCAAGGAATTCCGCTTCTTTGACTGGAGAACTCCTAGCGGGGACTGGGCCCTTGTTCCTCCGGCTGGGTGTGCGCGCCACAGTGGCAGTGGCGGCACGTTGCACGAAGCCGGACTGTGCGTGAGCTGCGCTCGCTCCATCTGCTGGGGCCGCGGCCAGGTCACGACCCGCGAGCCCCTGAAAGCAGGAGAGCCCGCGGCTCTTGGCCGCAAGTTGGGAGAAACATCCTTCACTGTTCCCCAAACCCAACGCAACCTTACCCTTAGCCAGGGCTTCGGAGGCGGTACTCCGAATGGAGTCTGAGAGCGCAGGACCCGCGCCTCGCTGGGCCGCGTGCAAAAACCCTAGGGATCGAGCGGTGTCCATTGCGGCATCGCAATGCCCGCAACGTCCCTCTGCTAGGTAAGCACGACAGCCACAGGCAGCTGTCTCCTCCTTGAGGTGCACCCAAACTTTATGGGTCACCCCTTTCTTAGTGCTAGCGACCTCAAACGTCGCTTCAGAGCCAAGGAGTTGAGACAGCCGCGCCTCAGGGGCCGCGGTGTTGCCATGTCGCAGATGCGCAATGCGGTTGGCAACGGCACGACTCACGTACCACAGAACAGCGCTGCACAAGATCACTACTACCAGAGTGATGGCTGTTCCGGCGACCCACACTGTCCGCCTGGCCCCATGACCGATTTCCTCGACCACGTCGGCCGAAATCGTTGCAACCGCGTGCATGGAGTCCTCGACAACATGCACAGCCCCGCGGTGCAACTGCAAGGCAATCGGCGCCGACGCTGCAGCCGCCAGGCCCCACCAGCCGTTGATGTTCCCGTTGAGGGCGTGCATCAACCGATTGAGGAGCCCGCGACCCAGGAAAAAGGGGGTCCGCGGCGCTCGCTCCATCTGCTGGGGCCGCGGCCAGGTCACGACCCGCGAGCCCCTGAAAGCAGGAGAGCCCGCGGCTCTTGGCCGCAAGTTGGGAGAAACATCCTTCACTGTTCCCCAAACCCAACACAACCTTACCCTTAGCCAGGGCTTCGGAGGCGGTACTCCGAATGGAGTCTGTGAGCGCAGGACCCGCGCCTCGCTGGGCCGCGTGCAAAAACTAGGGATCCTCCATTGCGGCATCGCAATGCCCGCAACGTCCCTCTGCTAGGTAAGCACGACAGCCACAGGCAGCTGTCTCCTCCTTGAGGTGCACCCAAACTTTATGGGTCACCCCTTTCTTAGTGCTCGCGACCTCAAACGTCGCTTCAGAGCCAAGGAGTTGAGACAGCCGCGCCTCAGGGGCCGCGGTGTTGCCATGTCGCAGATGCGCAATGCGATTGGCAACGGCACGACTCACGTACCACAGAACAGCGCTGCGCAAGATCACTACTACCAGAGTGATGGCTGTTCCGGCGACCCACACTGTCCGCCTGGCCCCATGACCGATTTCCTCGACCACGTCGGCCGAAATCGTTGCAACCGCGTGCATGGAGTCCTCGACAACATGCGCAGCCCCGCGGTGCAACTGCAAGGCAATCGGCGCCGACGCTGCAGCCGCCAGGCCCCACCAGCCGTTGATGTTCCCGTTGAGGGCGTGCATCAACCGATTGAGGAGCCCGCGACCCAGGAAAAAGGGGGTCCGCGGCGGAAGCGGAACACTTGGCGGCGGCCGGGCCGACCCGCACGGGAAGGCTGGGACCCAGCTTGTGCTTGGGCGGGGTTGGAGCGCGGCAACTATGCCCGCGGCGTAAGCGCCCCAGGCGTACCTGCCCCTCCCCTTGGGCTTGCCCTTGGCATCGGACTTGCCTCTGCCCTTCGGCTTGCCCTGGCCCTTGCCACGGGCGTCTGCCCAAGCACTCCAAGGGTCGCGGCCCTTGCCGTACGTCGCCTCTTCGCGACGTCGCTTACCGCCCCTCTTCTTGTGTTTGTTTCTAAGAAGAGGTTGGATGGTTTCTTGGTCCATCGCACGATTGGCCAGAAGGATCTCGTACTCCAGCTCGTCCTGGCTGCTTTCGGAGCCAGAGTCCCTCTCTTCGCCACGCCGCGGATCAGGGATCCCGCGAGAGACGACCTCTGCCAAACGGAGAGGGGTGCTGCAGCGAAAGCACAGCTGCCTGAATGAAAGATTCCATTCATAGCAGTTAGGGCACTGCCACCCTGCTATGCGGAGCGCCTCGCTGATGTGATCATCGCGCTCCGCCTTCTCCGCCTGGCGCCGCTCTCGCTTCTTGGCGCGCTCGGCCGCCTGCGCCTCCTCGGCCGCCTGGAGGGCTTCAGCGAGTTCCTCATCGCTGAGAAGCCTCGCGGCATCCGCCCGCGCTTGTTGTTCTTCAAGCTCTTCGGCAGAAAACCTCCGCCTCCATTGCCCTGGCGCGGTTTGAGGGTCTACCTCCCACCACCCGATGTCGATCCCGTTGATCCATCGGCCGTCGCACGGGGCACCCGCATTCGGGCCGCCCGCGTGCGTGGTGAGGCACTGGTCCTCGGTAACCGGGTTGATGGCTTCGCAGAAGAAGCACCGCCAGCTGCCGTAGGGGTAAAAGCGGCCTTCGACGTAGGCTCGGTTGGCTGGGAGGGCGACATCGTCCGCCTCATCCGCGGTGCCTGCCTCCATCTCAACCGAGACCTCCTCGTCCTTGACAACCTCAGCTTCCTCCTCCTGTTCCTCCTTGACCAGGGGCTCTTTTTGCTCCCGGCCAACGTTGAGGTGGGACTCAGTGCGAACCTCGGCGCGCGTCAAAATGACGTCAAGGCTGTCCGCGGCTGGGTCGCCCGCGAAGAAGGAATCGATCTCCTGGGCATGGAGATCGTCAAGAGGCGTTACCAGGTCTGGCGAGTAATCCCGCTTGGAACGACGCTCTGCAAGGCGTTGCTGAACGTCGCTCGTCGGCGGCTCGAGGGCCCGCCCGCGCGGAGCGGCCTCCCGCGGAGGTCCCGGCTCGGCCTCCTCCGTGGGCTCGCTCTTGGGCGTGGACCCTCCACCGCTACTCTCTGGAGCGGGATCCAGCTCGGGGTCATCGCGAAGCCACCCCGGTGGATGACTACCACCATAAATGTGGTGCGATCCGTCCTCAAGCTGGATTCGGTCCCT